AAAACAGGAACAAATTTGGTTTTTTAGATTATTAACACATTTTGACTACTGTACAGTATGAGAGGATGTAACACTCTCTTTTACCCTACCCATAAAAGTCTGTTCTATTTCCGACTGACTCAAACCTAAAGGACCGACTCTCAAGGACTGTTTTAAAAAGAAAAACCTGACATCTCTCATTAAAGAGTTCAATGTACATCCTTCAAATATGTGAAACATAAGATGTACACTATTGAATTTTCAGACTTGGTTGGTTGATGACAAGTTAACAGTTGCTTCCAGTGGAAACTAGATAGTTGTTGGATTGCTCAGACTCTCAATCACCTTGTCATATATTGATAGGTACAAATTATAGGACCTGATGATCAATTGTTTTAAAATTACTCTTCCAAAGAAATATAAGGAAGTACAAAGACAATCTCAGAAAGATAGAAGTACTGTCAATTGAGTAATTGGTATATCTATAATTATCAGTGTCATTAAAATCAATGATTAAAATGTTGCCATGATTTATTTTATCAACATCAATAATGACTTCTTTGCATGACCATACCTACTTTTGATTAATTGTTGATTATGTCTATTATTTGTTGTCTTGTAATTACAATTATTCCCAGGTATTAGTTGATTTATCTCACAGGATACTGAAAATTAAGCAACTTTCACACTGAACCAACTCAGCTGAAATTGAAAAGGTCAACTAGTCAACTTTCTATACCAAACTGCTAAACCTGCAGGCTAGAACTATTGCACTTTGAAATTTTTTTTATTTTTTGTATCAAAATAAGAGGTGATCCTTGTCAATTCTGACGATGAATCGATTAATTTATTGTACTTTTGCACAGTACAAATTTTGCTCAGAAAATGTAGGATGCTATCTAACACTGCAGGCTATTTGGAGCTATTTTCCATGTGAGCTTATACATTGCTTTTAGTGGCTGCAGCATCTTTAAAAGTAAATGTGATAATCAACTTATATGATGTTGATTTGCATTTTAGATACATTATCCATTTTGATTACAAGTGTTTAGGATTATACAGAGAAACTAATGATTTGGTTTTTTAAAAAACATTTGAAATCCAGAATATTCCAAAGTTGACCACTCAGTCAGCAGCAGAAACTGGTCATTGATATTATTTATAATATCAAGTGTAAAGCAAGAACAACAAGAAAAATTTTATGAAATCATATGACCCTATCAAATTGTTTCAGTAAAGACTTCATTTGTTCAAAAGTCATTGTGTATAGCAAAGAGTGTTTAATAACTAGATGACATAGATACAGTTAATCAGTCAGACATCAGTTATAGGTCATTGATTAATCAGTGAACCATAACCAGGTCCATCAGTTTGTATTTAGTTAGTTTACCAGCAATCTGAATTTAACTACCAAATTTCCAAGATTTAATACTCCATGTTATATCTTACAAAGTAAGCGTATGATTCCATGGTGTTCAGATCTTTAATTTTGATCTTAACTACCTAAAAATATATTTTGATTACATGTAACTGGTATTTTAGCATCTTGAATCTTAAACTTAAATGTATTGACAATTAACTCAAAATCTTGTTTTGAATTAACCAGCATGGATTTCTAAATGGTACAAAAAGTTCAAATTCAAATGTTGAATTAATATGTTAAATTTCTTTGCAAGGATTAATATTAGGTAAAAGAGGTATAGTTGTGGTACTGGTATTTGAAATGTTAGATTAAAATACTGAATGCTAAATATTGTACTATTATAATTGACGCTGTAAAAGTTATGACATTATTTATGTATTGATGTCAATTGTCATATGATTAATATATGTTATATATATAATGATGACATTATATAATGATAACACCTATAATATTAATCATATTATACTTAAAATGTCATATTTTTTGTCAAAATTTACACCCTCCATGTCATTCAACATATTGACTGCTGTCCCACTACATTTGGTTTTAATTGCATTTTGTCATTCTTATGAATAAACAGATTGGTTTCAAAACTAAGACAAGGAAGGTTTTTTGTATTTCATTTTCAGCTGATGTATCATACAAATATATGATATTTCCACTTAAATGATATTGAAGAATGTATAAGATAACATAGAGGTTTTACATCATTGAAAAACTCATACTGCATTAGATAGAATCTCTCTTTTCTTTTATAAAGACGATCATGATCACCAACCTTGAAGGCACAGGGCTTTTTTTAACTAGTTTTAATCAAACATGCAAATGTTTTTGATTGAATTTGTGGGCTTGATAGTGGATTATAATGGCTCTTTTACTGCCATGGGATCTTAGTAATTGTTAATTACAGACAAAATATTTGTTTTGAAATTGACCTGACAATGTGTATTAAATTCTGTCAACTATTTCAGAGGAAAAATTAAGATCTTAAAGTCAGGAGAGAGGTCAGGCTAGGAGTGGATAACTCTCTCTACAATTCAACCTTCTTTGGTGGTCTATGCTGCATCAAAGAGAGCTAAGCATTATTGGCAACTAGAGTAAAGTTTATATTCACTAATTAGCTGATGGTTATTCCTTTGAAACCATTCCTCTTCTTTACCATTAGATCTTATTTGGGTGATCTGATTAAAGCAGTGGGTCACTAATGACATTAAAGGGTATACTTGTGGTGTGACTGAAAGTTGATCATTGGTTTATTGTGATCATCTCTACCTTCAGCACATCTACAGTTCCTCTCTTTCTGTTCTGTGAACAGAGACCATGTTGATTGTTAAAATAGAAAAGTGAAAGTAAATGACAAAAGAATGATAGTGAATGAATAACAGCATGATATATATTATATCTATGTTAAGTTAGTGTAGGATGTATTTTATACTAGATAGAGAATACTGTAGGATATGTATAGATTAACATCTCAACCTGTTTCCCTTCACTGAACAATATATATATCATACTTTATTCAAATCTTTTTACTACTATGGTCCTTCTACATATTATAGTATGTCAAACTACTAGACCAATAATTAACTTAAGTCCCAAGTATTTCATGCCCGCATGCCCTGGTGCACACGTTAAACAAATTACACGGAGTGTATCACAGTTTTAAAGATACAGTCAAACTTCCCCAAACCATATTCCCTGTAAGCCGACATCCTGCTATGAGTTTGAAACTCCTGACTGATTTAATAGAAGGAAACTCTTAATAAACCGGCACACCTCTAAACCACAATACACCTTCAAAATAAGGTCCTAAAGTGGCTAATCTTTAGTTAATTAACCTCTCTAAACCAGCAACTCTGGATTTTATTTATCTGCAATTTGTTGATGTCCGTTAATTGTATTGATGACAAGTGCCTTGACAAATTATCAAACAAAATAATTACTTACTAATTCAATTAAAAATTGATGTCCATTGTACTTATTAAACATTGCTTAAGCTTATATGGACCAACATATGACCAAGGATGGAATAAAAAAGCAGGACAATTCCGTTAATCAAAATCTCATCCAAAGTATGGCAAAATCAAGAGTAAAAGTTGTGTGGTAGTGGACTCCTCCAAAGAGAAGTACCATCAGGTGTTTCGAAAAGAGTAGGCATACTCTGCTTCGCGTGACACCCGCCACTACCACAATGGTAAAAATCGTGAGATACAACCAGATACAATTCATATCTGACCAAACAAATCAGCCAAAATGTCAGAAACAGATTTAATGTATTTATAAAGGAGTTCTGCAAAACGACAATAAAATTTCCCACATGATATTTGAAGTTTGTGTGTCAAGTAACCTTGCATAGCAGACGAGCTGTAAACTCTGGAACTCTGTTTGATTAGCCTATTGCATAATAAATGGACTACTTCTCTAAGCAAACATTTTCCATTGGTCCAGTGGGATACCTGTTAGAGAGGTTTCACTGTACTCTGTTCTGTGATATATTATCTTACTATAACTTGTACTAGGTAGAGCTTTAAAGTCTGTATACCACATGTAAAAGCTAAGTGAAAGTACTTTGACAACAATGTCTTTCCTACAATGACTAGAGCATGGCTCACTAACAATATGCTTCATTAGAACATGATAGTTGACTTGGTGCATTAACAATCTACATTAACCTGAAATTCATCTAAAATTCAAAAATGTAAATGCCTGTAAATGAAATAACAAACATTAATTTGCCAAATACTTATAATACTTATGGATAAACTTTTCTCAACTAAATACAAATTATACAAAGCAGCTTTTTCTTTATTATAGCACAGGACAAAAAATTGTTTTGATCATTGTGAAAACTAACAGCACTGTAAATGAGTAGTCCTTGCTTCAGACCATGCTTTCCATTAGTTAAGACAATATAAATGTTGCTTGTTAGGATGAAACTGCCATGAACACATTTCAAATTACACATAGTAATGAAATGTTTTTTTTGTTCAAATATCTTTATTGTGCAGTTACTTGAACTTGAACCTGTTTCAGTTGAGGAAATATTTCTTGAATCATCAACATGGTCAATTTGGGTCGCAGTCTTACCGAAGACGAATGTTGAGTTGTCTCCAGCTCTACAACTTTCTATTACTGGCTGAAAAATCAAATTTTCACTGAGTTGTTATAAAAATTTAGCGTTTAGCTAGCTTTGTTGCCAAATGTGTCATGTTTCCATCATTCAGAAACAATATAAGCCATCACTAGATGTGAAACAAAATTGATAAATGGAAATATACTAATTATCTGCTAATGGGAAAACCTGGTTTTAGAGTTAAATATGAGTCTCCATTGAGTAAAAACTGACTTGAACTGTGTTTTACAAAAAGCTCTTTTAACTCGTTTTCATTTAACCATCACAAATTTTCCATATGATAATTGCTTATTATAGGCTGATTTGGAAACTTGAAAATGTATTAACAATGATGTTATATACAATATTTACTCAATTTTTTTATTCAGAGAGCTACATAGAAAACAACCAGATTTCACCCCGCCATTTCCTCCCTGTAAAATCTTGTAAATATCTACTTATTATGGTGTTTGTTAATTGTAGGTATTACAGAATCTAGGAAAGGCTGAAAGAACAACAGATGAGCAATTTGATGAACTAGTGATAAAAATAGAAAGACAACAAGAGTCAGCTCATCACTTACAGAAAGAATTAAAAAAATATTTACATGCATTAGAAGGTGAGTCTCATCTCAATTTCTTTTTTTTGAAAGGGACAGATTAGCCATTTTGGGGGTTGAATTTGGGTCTCGAAAATATGTAAATACTAGAAATACTAGAAATGTATAGAAATCTCATAATTCCTTCAAAAATACCTTAAACTAGGAGTTTCACTTTCTATTACTATATATGTCTTTTCTATATATGACAATCCCAATAAAATGTCATTTTAACTTTCAAACGCGAATAATTCTGGACACACAGAGATTTGAAGGCTAAATTGCCTGATTACTGATTAGATTTAAAAAAAATCCCAGTTTCTAAGAAAAAAGTATAATTGGTCAAACGAATGGCAAACCTTTCCCTTTACACTTGAAAATATGCATGTATTCATCAAACTGATTGTATAAATACATGTATTGTACATCATTATGTCATGACACAAGCATACTTTAAATACTTATAGGTGTGAGGTGAGGTCTTCTTTGTGATATTTTATTATAGTCATATACCAGTATTATCTAAACCCTAAACCCTACACCTACTCTCTCTCTGACAACAATGATTTCTGAATTGAATTTTGACAATCATTTTTCCATGAATTGAAATACCAACTACAAAATAATACAAAGGTCTTAGATTGCCTTTGGGTTGATGAAAATGTTAACCACTGAAAAAAATACCATTTGTAAAGATGATTTTATAGAGGGGAATTTTCAGTCCGAAAAGTGAGTCATTTTCACGTGAATTTTCAAGGAGGGAAGTGTTTCTATTTTAAATGTAAAATCATTGAACCTTGTATTCCTATGGACCCAAAGGCATTCTAAGACAAATGGCATACGATTGAAAATTTTATTTTAAATATTTATGAAATGAGAGCAAATATCAAATCAGAGTTTAATGTAGTGAGACAATAAATTCTGATATGGTTTTGTGATTTTGCTGATTTTGCTAATATTGAGTCCAATTATTTTTGTACTTCCTTCATTCAATGGAAAAAATTAGATTTACCAGCAAGATCTGTGTTGTTGAGTGAAATATTGCTAAAAACTAACAATTTTTGATTGATAGATTGGCCTTCTAGCTTACAATTTTTTGACATGTGCCAAGGTTGGTATAAAGACACATGGTAGACTTACCTGAACAATAAAAGTGATGACAGCAAATAATTAAATAAAATACCTGTGAAATATAAAACTGATCTATAAGATTTACTAGTTTTATAAAAGATACAAGTGTCAGATTGAGGAAAGATTATTAATTTCATCAATTTTCTAATTAGATATATTTCTATAGGATAGGTTGATAATTGAGTGTCAACTGATACCTGAATCTCAAATACTATACATAGTTACAGTTTCAAATTCACGACCTACTTTTCTCTTTTATATTTGTTGATACGCATTCTTTGTATTATTCATAAAGAATTAGAAGGTCAAGTTGCAATATGATATTATGTTATTTAAAAGGGACATGTATTAACATAATGAATGGCCCAAGCCTTTTTCAACCTTTACGATACAATTACTATATTGTATAATATAAATTCAATATATCGCATGTCTTTGTTCATGCATTATTTGGTTTCTTATGTAGAGACAGAGCTGAAACAGGAAATATAATTCAGAAAGTTTGAACTAATATATAATCCATTATATATTAACATGTATATACGCCCACATTATAATGTGGTGATATATTGTAATCGCCCTGTCTGTCTGTTCACATTTTACTTTTACTCACTCTACAGGCTACAATTCTTTATGGATTCTTTTCCTTTTTATGTTGTGGGTCAATGTCATTATGAAGATGATATCTATCAATTTTCAGGATCATCTGATAATTTTTCACCAAAATGTCACATGCAACTTAGTGTATGAGCCATATAGTGCAACTTATATTCACTCCTTAAGCAACAATTCTTTATGGATTCTTTTGATTTTTATATCCCCACACATAGTATGGAAGCATATTGTAATCCCTCTGTTCACACTTGGCTCATGGCTCACTCTACAGACTACAAACAATGATCTGTTCTTGCAATCAAATCTGCTGGTGTCATCTTACTTTGCAAGGCTATATTATTTTTATTATTTTGTATTAGACACTCTATTTTCGAACAGGTCATATAAGGGGAAAGTTATAGAATGTTCATATTAAGGTGCTTTCAGTTGCACAATTTTTGGCATTTGACAAATCAGTTAAAAGAGTCAAAACAATTCAGTAGAAAATTAGACTAAATTATTATTTAATATACAATCCTATATGTATAATTTCAACTGCACATACCCTAAAAAACTGAAAGTTGTGTGTACATTACCAGTATTTCCATTTCTTTAAAGATGAGTTCAATTATTTTCATTTATGAATATGAAAATGCTAATACTTATATGAATAGAAAGTAGAGGTGTTCTAATGACTAGGAGAAATACTAGTTTGTCTCACATGTTCATAATTAATTCAAAATTAGCTAAATTAGAAGAGAATTACCAGCAGAATTCCAATGAGTGACCAATCAAGAAAGGTCAAAAAGTATTTTTTTTTTTATCCAAACTGTACATACATGGACATTTATGATTGGGTAAAACTCTTAATTATATGCAATAAGAACATAATGATACAATTAAGAATTCATGATAATTCATTAGAAGCACCAAATAATTTGCTCAATTTTATACTAAAAATTAATCAAACCCATCTTCAATGATGTTGTGGATGTATTTTACACTGACTGGCAAGCTATCTCTTTAGATGTAAAAGGGCAATAGGGTTTGTAAAAAGAAATATCAAACAAACAGTGGTCAATTACAGTTGTTGGTTACCTATAAATAGTTGCACAGGCATTAGGATTAGACCTGAATGCGATAAAATCACAAATATTTTACCATTTACACTACTACAATTTCGAGTATATTGAGGACAGTTCAATAACAAAAGTGTAAACAATCTTGTGTTCTCAGATACATTTTAATGTATCTCTTCACGAAAGAGTTCGTTAGAGACCTTCTAATAACACGGATGAAAGCAAATTCGTCTGCTCACAGAAACAGTAGAAAATGTTAAGGGGTCAAGATCCATACACAAAGTTCTCAGAAGGCTCAACTGTTTACACTACAAGGTTTTTATAATGTAAACGGGGCTATTGCGTTAACTCTTTGAGAAAGCTCATGTTTTTCTCTTTGCTTTTAAACTGAATATTAGAGGACTATATGACTTTTATTGTAAACACAATGTATATGTTAACTTTAATAAAGACATAAAATAGAATTTATGAATGAATTAAAGAAAATTCGATTAAGGTTGTGAAAGGTGTGCATTGTTCCATGAAATGAAATGTAAACTTGTAGTAAAATATAATTGATAAAAGTAGAGTATATTAAACTACAACTATAAAAGTACAGAAAAAATCTGACAGTTGTAGGGGTTATTTACATATTAATATGATGAAATTACCCTGAGGCTTCTATTACAACAATAACTGAAATAGTTGAGTCAGTTTCCACAACAATTTATGACAGTTTTTATTTTTACCTTAGTTCAACCAAGCATGAAAAAAACCTAAATATTGAGTTTATACTATAGAGTATATAATACTGTAAAGTACTTAATATACAACAATATTTATGCACATCTGGTCCATTTCTTAACATAAATATAAACAGTTGACTGTATTTCTATTTCTAATTATGTATTATAAAGACAATTTTTATTGGCTAGTTTTTAGTTTTGGAATTCTGTTAACCAAGTGTTCAGATAATATTGTTTTTAATTTCTGTTGATTTTGAATCTGATAGATAACTGTTCAAATACCTATTGGTAGATAAAACCTGGAAATTCCTATACAGTTACTTATGTCTCTCCAAATAGTTGTACCATTCCTATTAAGGTGCCCAAAATCTTTCAGTTGTTACCCTGATATGTTTAATAACTCTCAGTCAAATTCCCTTGACCATAAACTTGATGACCTTCTGTTCAGATAACTCAGTTGTTAAATTCCTATTACCTTTTACATGATGACCTATTAGAAGTCAATGGTATCCCTGATATACATAAAAAAGCACCAAAACATCTTTACAACTCCTTTAAGATAACTCTCAGTTGTTGAATTCCTATTACCCTAAACATGGTGACTTTCTGTTCAGGTAACTCTAGAAATTCTATTCATGTTAATTTGACCTAAGTTCTGTTCCATTTCTATTTCCGACCTTATGTTAAAAAAAATGTTATCTGAGCTGTCTACTTCCTATAAACCTGAAAATGATGGCTTTCTGTTCAAATAGAATTGTTTATGAACACTGGATCTGAATATTTGCCTCAGACAATCATCAGATTACTTTCAGATGTCTAATCTGATCAATTTATTATATATTTTAACTATGAACAGTCTGTTGTCAAAAATCAAATAATTTTAGTGAGAATGATATAATTTCATGGTTAATTGAATGTCAACTGCTTTTTTTTGTATGCAAAGTTAAATTTCATTTCACTTTTACCTAATTGAATTATGTAGTATTGTTTTGCCCAAGGACATGTCATGGAGTGCATCACATTTTTCTTAAATTTGATAAATGATTACTATAATAGATAAAATAGGGTTGAAGTTTGGAGCACATAAAAGCTTTGACGTTAACAGAATGCAATGCACATTCAAGACCCCCTGACAGTTGGAGTGTATAGTCTTATACTGCTGTCCTGAAATAATATTGATCATTGTACTCTGTATGGTCCTAGTCTTTTTAAATGTAGAACAGTATAAAAAATTCATTTCAAAGTTGTCTGACAGTAGTTTTTTGAAAAGTAATTTAAATTTAACAGTTTGTATCTTCGGATCATTATCCTATATGACTTCATCTTCTAAAAGATAGTGGACCACAGCCATATACGCCCACCACGGCATGCAGAAGGTAAATATTCAAGATTTTGGGGCAATGGCAATAAATCTGCTTCTAATGGTCGAAAATAGCTCAAATTCAAACTTGATCTTCGTTTTTATGAATATGTATATACATACCGAATTTCATTTTATTCCATCAAAAAATCTAGTTTTTAGAGCGTTTATAAGCAAATGTTGACGGACCGACAGACGAACAGGGGTGCCAACAATATACGTGCACATAGAGAGATGTGGGCGTATAAAAATATATAATAGTGAAAGTATACCTAAAGCTTCAAAGATAACCATATGATATGATAATAAGATAAACTCATGATTAATTGTTTATACAGTCTGTATATTTATTAGTTACACATATTGTAATCAACTATATTTCAGTTACCATTAAAGGTGACACGCCAGATAGAACATATATTTCTAATATAATTCAATGAAAATCGCTAATTAAAAGCACTATACAGTAAAACTTCTCCTTAGCACCGCATTCTATCTATCAGAGTTTCACTCTAATACATATATCACTTAGTGGATGTCCTTTACAAGTTTCCTATGATTAAAGAGAAATTGCGGGAACAGCTTCTAAGGTTCAATGGTGTTTGCTTGTACCCAAATGACTATTAAACCATGAGGTTAGGTACCAGGGATCTAGCTCTATAGAAAGGTAAACTGAAATAAACATTCATCTGTTATATTTGTATTTTCAGCACTATCAGCAGCAAGTAAATCATTTTATTCAGCAGTAGAAGAAACATACGAGGCAGAATGGACAGAAGAAAAAAATTTCAGCGAAAATTTAAAGGTTGGTATGAAAAATATATAAATGAAAATTGTTTTTGATTGTTTTTGATTGAACTGCATTATTTGATAAATATATTATGATACAGTTATTTCAATAATGATATTAGTTTAATTATTTACCATTATTTAAATGGTTTATTCAGATATGTGATATTTTTTTCGATATAATACAATGCATGTGATTTTTTGTATAATTTTGTTTTGAATTTAATTTCAGGCTTCAGAGACATTATGGGTAAATTATCTCTCCAGATTACATGATAAAGTGGTTGATCCTATGTTAGCTTATCAGGCTTCATTCCCTACATTAAAGGTATTATTATAGATCATTGGATATATTCAAATGTTTTGTTCACAGGATTGAAGTGTTCATGAATGAGAGGATTCCTTCTGTAATTGTTAAAATGAAGTTGAAAGGATTAGTCTAGTCTAGAGCTAAATTTAAGCCATCTGTATCACTTTTCAGTAGTAATATCCTATATCTGGTTCTTAACAAAGCGTACCACACCCATTTGGACTATCACCACTTCAGGGCATTGATTACACTCGCTTGCAGTAATGATCTTACTCTGTTTATTATTTATCTAACTGTTTCTAGGCTAAGATAAATAAAAGAGGTCGTAAATTGATGTATTATGATAATGCTAAACATTCTGTTGATGTTATACAAATGGCAAAGAAGAAAGATGAGGCTAAAGTTCATAAGGTATGTGCAATTAACAATTTGGGCATGGGAATGATGTATTGTAGGTTATAGCCAAATATAGATATTTCATAGAAGCTTTCCAAAGGTTCCGACAAGGAATGGAAGCCCATTACACCTGAAGGTCTATAAGTAACAATACAACTTACTTACTATTGAGTCACTTCACAACCCTTAAGAGAGAAAGAAAATTCCACATGTAAATTTTTGTAATGAACCCTTAGTATATGAGTTAACAATATTCAAGAAATGACTAAAAAAAATTTTATCAGCAAGACAGTAAAAAGGGTATTATGTGAGGTTCTAAATATGTGGAAATTGTCTGGACAAATGGGGGGTATATATTGTCGTCACCAATGTCTGTTGGTCCTAATGTTGGTCCACAATTACTCGTAAACACTGGCACAATTCTTGAATGATTTTTGAAGAAACTTGGTATGATTGTTTGTAATCACCCAAGGATGAGCCCTATTGAAAATCAGAGAAATCGAAATATATTAGGATGAGTTATTGCCTTTGTTCTTGAAAACAAGTTCAATTTTTAGCTCTCCAACATTCTAGATGGCACAATTCTTGACAGATTTTTACAAAATTTGGTAGTATTATTCAGCAAGAGATAAAGATTGGCTATGCCAGTTATCCCTGATTATCTGTGACTATATTCGTTCGTGTTTGAACTCTTCAGACTGATTAGACTCACTCACCTCACTCAGGTGAGTCTATTACCAACCCATCTGCCAAAGCAAATGCTAAAGAAGTGAACCTATCTATCCTAAGACACACCTGTCGCCTCTCACTTCCATTTACCGAGACACTCCAGTCGAAATCTTGACTTATAAATAATCAATCGACTAGGCACTAACCTGGACTAACACAGTTTACAGCCAATAGGCCCTCCATTTAACTCCATTGGATTATCAGATTGAAAACTTTCCAACCACTTGGGATCAATGACAAAATCTAAATCTGGACACCCCAACTTCACTCTTTATTAGTATTATTCAGTATCACCCCAAAAAGTTTAAAAGACGTGTAAGACTGAAGGTTGAATATTTCATACTGGTATTGTTACTGCCAAATATTTTTATTTAAAATCAAAGCTGCCAGTGGGCATATATTACCTTGCCTGGCAAGCTATCTTTGAATTATGCAGGCACATGAAGATCTGTCGAATGCCAAACAGATATATCTACGTATTAATAATGAGTTACATCAAGAATTACCAGACTTCCATAACAGTAGAGTTACATTCTATGCTCAGTTGTTTGGAGATTTATTTGATATAGAAAATACTTTCCACGGTGAAATAGCCAAGGTAAGTCCTTGTAGATTGAAAAATGTTCATAGACCATAATACCATTTAGTTAATTGATTTTATAAACATACATTGATTGGAGGATCAATGTTATTCACATTTTAGATTTGTTCATGTGTTAAAGTCACCCTCAAGTGACACATATAGAGCAGTAATATATAGTAGGATGCTAAAATTTTTTTCCCAGGCAGCATTTAAACCTACTTATTTACCAAAATATAAAAAAATGACAAGTCACTGTGTTTTATCTTATCCAAAAAGAAAGTTTGTTGTAGCCCTACAGGTTCTCAACAGAATTTGGCAGAAGACATTTTATTAACATTAAGACTTCATTGGAGATAAACAAACTACTTGTCAATAACTCAATTGTATCTTACTGATATATTTTACATCAAATTACAGATAGCTGATAGTGAAACTGAAATAACAACAGATTTAAAGAGAGATTATAAAGATTTTGTATATACACCAAAAAGACCTATTAGTAAAGCATTTTCTAATGAGTAAGTCATCATATTTTATTTTATATTTATTCAATGTTTATATTTAGATTATATACTTTATGTTCTCTAATGAATAAGTTATTATGTTTTGTCTATGATATATTTTATGGACAATCTTAGTCTGTTCAGCCTTTCTTTTGATGGTCAATATAGTCTTAACTTTACTCAACCTTAATCATTATTATAGTTAACCTAACCTAAATTTGTTGAAAAAAAACTAGTTGAACACTTAAAGGATATTTTGAAAAGTCTAGGCTTAATGAAATATTGTGAGTAACATAAGGATTTCAGATATGATTTAGACTCTAAATTTATTAAGTGATATTTGTAGTGAAAATAGAAATATCACATACTTTTCTTGTATATCAGATTTCTTGATAGTACCTATCGGTAAGTTTTACCTCATAACCTCTCACTTTCAGCTTTATTTGTTTTTATTAACAGTTTATTATCAATATTTCCCTTTTAATTCATTTTATTTTGCTTAATTAATTGCACTGACATTATTTTGACAAAAAAAACTGAAATTTAACAGTTTGTGTATATTTTATATAACATGTTAAGATTTTGCTTTATCACTTAATGCCTTTCTCAAAGCAATCTTCAAAACAAAAAAGCCAGTTTTGAAATGATCTACAATGTGATTGATGTGAATTGATAAATTCCACAAGAAAGACTACTGGAGTACCCGGGGCCTATAGCTTTATAACTACTTTCAATTTAGCATGCATTTTAATGTTGTAAAGCAAGCTGCTTGAAGAAGAATTAAAATGAAATGGAGTGTAATTGTTTTGAATATTAAGAAATTAAGAAAATTTTAATAAAGACATTTTATTGCCCTAAATTTGATATGTCCATATAATCCCATGCCATTAATTTTAGCTTACCTCCAGTTAAATCTTCTTTTTTTAATGTTTTTGAAATATTTAATGCAAAATATATGACATCTTCAAACCCTGATAAATATCTGTCCATTGTTATAAAAAGATAATTTCATGATGACAGTGCCAACGACTCTTTTTATGGAGGGGGTGTCTCTGGTTAAACTAAAATTACACTGAAGGTGAAAAATGAAAGTTGATGTTGAACTTAAAGGCTGCATGCCAGTTGGAACCCATTTACAATTTCAATGAAAATAGATAACAATGAGTTTAAATCCATCATTTACCTTTAATGTCTAGATAACCCAAGCTAAATATTGCAAATTATTGTTTTTACAGTAGTGATGAAGAAATAAATGGTCATAATAGTTTTGATGAGACAGCAGGTTCCAGTTCATTTTCTGACAGCAACCCAAATTCACCAGTTAAAATAAATGGTGGAGGTTAGTACAAGGTCCTGTTTTTTTTTCTTAATATAACAATACAAATATAACAAATTTTAAAATAAGTGAAATTAGTTTGCAATGTCTTATTCATTTACTTAGATAAATACTTTTTTTTTGATATCTGGCCGTTTTTTTTTAGATAAAACCTTTCAGGTTAGATTCCATATGTAATCCCATATGAAATTGAAGTGAAATTTGCAGTATTATAGTTTTAGATAAAAATAGGTTTTTTTTTCTAATAGAGAACATCTACACAAATCAAGAAGTCATTAATTCTACCCTGGAATCTAAAGGGTTAAAACAATTTAAACCAGCAGAAGACAGCAGTAAGGAAAATGTAGCTGAAAAGAAGGAAGAACCTAAAAAGGTATTGATGACTTTAAGATTTCAAAAATTATTCTGTGTTCTTTGACTTCAATCAGCATTTTGACAAGAATCATTTGCTTTATTTTAGCTTGTTTCTACTGTATGAAATTTGACAGGTATGACTTTCTTGATGAAAATAAAAATTGTATGAGGCTTGATCATTTTGAATCATTAATTTCATAGGTTGAAGAAGCTAAAGTAGTAGAAGAAATCAAAGTAAATGGAGCCCAAGGAGATGTTAAAGAAAATGATGCACAAGAAGATGTTAAAATAAATGGAATACAAGAGGATGAGAAAGTGAATGAAGCAAAAGCAGACGCTAAAGAAAATGGGACAGGAGGTCAACCAGATGTACCCGATTATCCCCCACCTGAACCACCTGCTGAAGATAATACTCATATAACACCTTCTGAAACACCTGAAGATCATCATGATGATGTTAATGTTTATGATGAACCCAAAAGCCCAAAACCAAAAGAAGAAGAAAAAGAAGATGTTAAGGAGGTAACAGAAGAAGAATCAAAAAAAGAAGAGAAGCCAGTTTATAAAAGTCCTGCTTCTAATCAACCAGTTAAAGAAGCTCCACCAAACTTACTTTATCAGGTAATTTTCAAATCATAATTTAAAATCATGGATTCAAAATCTCGCAAAATTACACCTAACCTCATGACTCATGAGCTGAGAGCTAAAACTCAATAGTGATAGTAAAATTAGCCTCACTCAAAATCAATTTTGAAATAAGGACCATCCAGTGTTCTCTTAAAGTAGGACATCAAACGATTTTCTATCGTTGACAGGTACAAGCAACACATCCATATAATGGTGAGGATGTTGATGAACTAAGTTTTGATACAGGAGAATTTATTTGGGTAATACCATATGAAAATGAAGAGGAACAGGTAAGGTTGTTCTTCTGGACATAATTCTAATCATTCAGATGGGACAATAAACTTCACCCAATAGTACATATTTAAAAACCGAATTGTTAAAGAGTAGTCTTATATTGCTGTCCTAGCAATACCTTCCTCTCAGTACATTGTACACTGTCCTTCTATATCTATCTTATCAAGAGCAGAAAAGTAGGACATAAACTTCCAATTCCAGCTGCCACCATGAAATGGATCTTTAATTTGATGAGAAATTAGTCAATGCCTTCGCAAAAATAACTCCAAAGTCTTTAGAAAATTCATCTAATAATTCATTTCATGAAAAAATTAAGTAGTATTCATTTGGAGAAGTTATGGTGGTTGCTTAAACTAGACTTCAGTATAAACACAATTGATACAAGATACTAATATCTAATTATTTGTATTTTGACAGGATGATGGTTGGGTAATGGGTATAAAACAGTCAGATGGTGTGAAAGGAGTCTTCCCTGAAAACTTTACTCGTAAATTACAACCATGAGATAATATTTTAGAATTGTATTATTATTGACTCAAATTGATCTGATTGGTTGAATTATTAACCAATAAAAAGAAACCATTCCAACTATTTATCAGAGTTAAAATGGCAATATTCTCCATATAACAAAAAATGATTCTACAGTAATAAGATAGGTTACATAGCTACAACAAGGAATTTTAAATGAAATAAGAAACAGTTCAAGTATTAGTTTACCAAGTGTCTTATTGATTAATCTATGCAAATTATCCCAGCAATATAAAAGATGTAATTATATAATGCAGTCCCACCTACAACTCAGGCTATCAAATTTTTCACATATAAAGCCATCTTTCTTTTTTTTCGATTTTCGATAAGTTGTTAAGTTTTTTGAAATAGTGAAAAATTATTCATTTGCAGATTGCTTTTTCAATATCGTGCCCTAAATTTAAGATATCTGTGATCTCTGTGTTTGGCCGTTTCAAGTTAGATATATTTCATGCACTTGATTACTAAGGAGATATTGTGTTGCATTTTCGTGTTTGGTTATTTTTTGCTATTTTGCACAACTTTTGCATCACAGTTTCTTCGTTTTTCATATATTATTTGCAAGTTGAGAATTGGCTAAGATTTAAATTAATACAAGTTCATGTATAATATGCCTAAACTCATGGAATTCAGGATTTCATTTGACAACAATACCTCATTATCCTTTTATCATATTTTATACACTCATTATAGATTAATTAGTACTTATATTAGCCCTCGTTAGTACCTGTAATTATTTGTTATCTTTGTACTTAGTAAACAATAACATATAGGCTAGACTATTTTATATACTTAAATATAGGGGTAAATTGTACATTTCCATTTCCATGAGCATATTTTATATGTTACTCAAATTTTAATATGGCAACATATGTAAAAATTGTGCACAAATGTGTATGATTTTAACATGAAATTGAGATTGTATATTTTGAGGAAGAAAAATTGTAATTGGAACAGAAAGTTGGACTTAGACTTCCATTTAAGTTGTTCTGATGGGGATTGGAACATGTGTCAGTGGCATTGACCTAATCAATTGAATTCGATTTGTACTTGGCTGTGTACTTATTTTTATTCTTTGATGTAACTTCAACATCAATAAATAAAAGATATTCTTATGGATAGATAATTTAACAACATAAGGGTTTGGTCAGCCTTAACACCCCTTATTCATCATATTTAGCTTTGTTTTTGTTTTTATTATCATTTGTTTGTATTTTTCTATCAGTATTTAATGTAATTGTTTTGAGCTTTGTTTGTAAATTTGATATTTAAAGTAGCAGAGGTAAATTTTCATATTTCACACAAATACTTTTATAACACAGCAAAATAATGTTTAAAGTGAAAATCTTATAATATTGAAGTGACTCCAAGTACCTGTTTTTAGTGTGATTGGACTTCCCCTTATGCTTATACATATTTTTCTGTAATATTTTATGTTAATTCCTGCTCAGCTTGAGACCACATTCCATTTGACGTAATATAGCAAGTATTGTATATACAGCATAATACTGATATCTAGTATTCAATTAATGAGGTATTGTCAAATATGTTTGATAGAGAATCAATTTGGAACAGATCCAAAAATTGAAGGAATAACTCAAATATTAAGCAGAGATATACCTGAAAGTTTACTAAGACATTTTGACGGGCATTTTGAGCATGAATTTTATATTTGTTCATTGAATGTGAAGACAGCTTGGTAGATAGTATGGATCTTGGTGACTTTATTTTATTTCAATGTTTATTTGGTTTCACTTGATTTTAAAGCAGCTGAAATAAAAGCCTATTTTAGTTAACAAGTATTAAATTGCAAAAGAGTGCTGAATTTATTTTATATTTTCATTATTGAGACTATTTTAGATTTTATGTATTTTTTATTTATTTATTAGTAACTAACTGAGAGATGATATTATTAATATACTATTCATATAGAATAGATTATTTCATTCTTTAATGTACTAGTACTTACTGTCGTGTCTTTTGCCTTAGAATTTCTTAATTTTGAAAATTGCTAAAATGAGTAAAATTATTTTTGTCTGTAATAAACTTGTATGTTTGGCTTATTAGTGACTAATGAGTATTTGCATGGTTGAACCTTTTGAACAAAAAAAATCTTGGTGTGTCATTAAAGCTTTGTTTTGTTTAATTTTTGTTCCAATTATGCAACTGATGGCTATATGGGCTTTTTGGCATATTATAATGCATAACAAATGTGCTTTTGATGTTTGAAGTTTTGAGACACGGATGATATTTTGCAAATGCTTAGTTCATATATTTATGTACCTAAATAAAAGCATCTTTACATGTAGCATTAATGATGAAAACTGAATTTTAAAAAAAAGTTATTTAGAGCTATAATAGCATTTAGTTAGATCTATTCAAGAAAGTAAAATTGCCCATTGGCCAAAAAATGTAGCCATTATAATCAGAGTAAGTTTATCATTGAGAATTAGGGTACTGTTAGATACTGAGTTATTTTCTTGTTATTTTATTATTCTGTGCAATATAATGAAGTATAATTAATTCAGATTATTATTGGTGATGGTTGTATAATAATCAAACATAATAAATTATATTGTTCCATTTCTTGATGTGGTTCCTTAAGTTCATACTCGAGCTTATCTATTGTAAGATTGACCAGAAAATATTCTGAATCATTCAAAGATGTTAAAATATTGAGATCATGGCCTCTCACTATTTAGTTTATCATCTGCAAAACAATCTGTGGGCTTGAAATCCACCTCAAGATAAGACAAATTATGATGCTATGCAAGTGTTTACAATAGCTTGTTGTTGGCTTTCAGCCTCTTATCACCAATCTTTGCCAATGCATGGCTGTTTGAATATCAACTTCAAGGGGTTAACTTTTCAACTGTGTTAACGTATATATCTTTCTATGGAAACCCATTTTATCTATATTATGTTAATAAACTTCAGAGTTAACTGAATTTCAAACAGTACATTGATACAAAGATTTTATTTGCTATATTTTACATTTCATGAAATAAAAAATAAATGATTTAATAGTCAATGCTGTATGATATAACATTAACAACTGACAGTAAGATATATAATGTATAATAAATAAAAACATGAAAAAAAAATCTCTACATGTACTAGCCCACAATAAAACATAACTAATCAACATGCTCCTAAAAAAATATACATAACAAAAAATTATAACTAAAATTTCAGCTAAAGAAATAGCTTTTAACAAAATTTGAGGCTTGTTGGCATGGGTAATTGTGCTCTTTTATTTATGATGTAAAATATTATATTGATTTCAGTGTGCCTTGGTAAATTAACCACATTTATTTTAAATGCAAAGTTTTACAATTCAACTATTCAAGTTAAGTGAACACACCAGGTTGAGATGTTTTAATCTTAACTTATATCTGAAACAAAATGGTTTATTAAACATAATATTATGCACACCTAGGCATAAACATAAACAGTCTATTTATTAGGTAGAACATAGTGGCATACCTTTTCTTAAATGCATATTACCACTTAAACCTATAAATATTATTGACTGTGTATTTATGTTTTGAATCCTACAACAATATGCATAAAAAATACATTTGACAAGAGGAAGGTAGTAATTATATTCCAATATATTTATGATATATTACTGACTATAAATGTATAAAATGTTCTTTTAAAGTTATCTATTTAGATGGTTGACGACTCTGTTTTTTTGATTTATCACTTGTCTTTGGAGGTGGTCCACCACCAGCTGTTATATGCCTACCGTACAAACTGAAAGACAAAAACATGAAAATTCATCAGATATCTAACCTTTACAACCAAAAAAAAGGCACAAGATGAAAATAATATTTGAATTTTTTGATTAAAAGCTTTCATTTTAAGAACAAAATGAATTCTTACATCATTTTAAAGTGTTGATTTAGTCTTGAAAATATGTAAATGGTCTGGAGAAGTATTAGAAATGTACGAAAATTGCATAATTCCTTTAAAAATACTTCAATCTAGGAATTTTATCCACAATTTCTGTAAATGTCTTTTTTATATTTCACAGGGTATCTTAAATTAACAGGTCGTCATTTTAACATTCAAACACAGATAATTCTGGACACAGATGGATTTGAAGGCTCAAATTTCGACGGTGAACTGTGAACACTATTACTCATTGGCATAGCTAAAAAATTCACATTTCTGAGACTAAAGTATGATTGGTCAAAATGAATGCCGCACCTGTCCCTTTAAATAATTTAGATGAAATCATTATTTAAAGCAATCATAAATTAAATGGACATCTGATTTATACTGTATAAACACAAAAAGTGATAATACTTACAATTTATAGGTATCAGATCTTATATAATCAAAAACATGTGATACACCAACTTGAAACTGATCAGCTATAGGTGTAACCCATGGATTGTTGTCAGCTTTAAACACTTGCTTTGTACCAACTAGATCCAAATTACCTGTTCAAATTACATAGAAATAGTTAATAATCGCTATTACATTTATGGTAGAAAATAAAAGAGGTTTACATTTTTTGAAAAGTCGAGGTTAAGAGGGTTGTTACTCAGTGTGTTTTAGAATAATGGAATTATGAGATTATTTGCTCGGTCATATCAAGTTTGTATCATGTTCGAAAGTAAGACAAATAAAAAACCATGTGGACATAACTGAACAAACTGAACATGAAGGCCTCTGAAATTTTATTAAGTCTGTGTTTATTTTATAACTTACCTAACTCTGGAGGTAATACAGTTAATCTATTACCCTGTATATGTAAATCTCTTAGTCGATGTAAATCACCAATTTCTGTAGGTAATGATATCAAATCATTTTCTCTGAACACCAACTAAAATCAAATGAAGAATATATTCCTAACTTATGATTTGTACGGTAATGGAGTTGGACTAGTGAGTATGAGATTCACTATGCCAAAAAACCATTTGTTAAACAAAATTTTAATTCTGCACAATACAGGGATAAGTATCAATTCTTATTACAGCTGAACAACCTCTTCTATAACTTATTGAGACAAATTACACAGATTTTTTCTTAACATTTTCCTTAGAAATCTAAAACTTTAATCTTTTGTGCTACAATTCCAATGAACAAAATGAATTTTTTTTAAATATTGACACCAATGTATTACTTACAATTTGTAAATTTTTAAAACGACCAATCTCTGGAGGTACTGTTTCAAAATCATTATCACCCAAATACAAAGCTCTTAGTGTGTCTAAAATAAAAGATATCAGTTAATTTCTAAAAAACACAAATGTAAATATACATCAATCTTAGAAAAAGCAAATGGCTCTTAGAAATGACAAATTTGGAATTATTAGGGTTTTTTTAAAAAACTATTTAAAATTGGTGCATAACCAATTTGTAGCAAAAAAATCAGATTTACACAATTAAAATTACTGGTAACAGAAAGATAATAAAAAAATCAGCTTACCTAAACAAAAGAAATTAGCTGGTAGACTGTGTTCACTGAGATTATTATAGGTTAGATCTAAAACTTCTAATGCTGGGAAGGCACCAAACCCTCTTGGTAAACTATTCAGTTTATTCATTCTAAAAAAGACAGCATAATTGATGAAAACTATTGAATTATCTGTGATTTGAAAGGATTCAATAATTTTCTTTACATTTGTGTTAAAAAATAACACATTTGTGAGCCATAGAAATTGTTAGCTATTGCCTTCCATCTTAAGGTTATCCAAATTCGCGACAGAAATGGTAGATAATAATTATTAGTAATGTATCCTGAAGCCATTTTTCACAACCTAAATTAATTAGAAATTTATAATATTTAGCTTACCCCAAATTAAGATATTTAAGTTTTGGCATAGAGCTGATATTGGTTGGAAGACCAGCATCCTCAATATGGTTGTTGAATAAATTCAGAATCTCTAAACTATATAACTCTATAATGTTTGGTGGAACACCTATAGATAAAAAAAACAGGATATAGAATTAAGCAAACATTCTAAACTCATACCATATGCTTATCTGTTTTATCGATATCATAAATAATTCATGAATATCCTTTGTATTATCATAAATAAACTAAGTACTAAGGATACAAAACTCAAATTGTGTAAACACAAAAATGACAGTCTGTGATGTGAAACACCATCCAAGCATAACAAATGAAGTGAAGCATTCCATATTGAACATCCAATAAATATAATGACAGGAACTCTTGGCATAAAATGCAGCACATAAATAAGAATACTATAAGAAAGAAAACTAAAACTTACTATTGATCTTGTTATGACTAACGGTTAGTCTGGTAAGATGTTTTAAAGTATCTGGAAAAGATAAAAAAAATAACCATATACAAATATGCAAAATTTAATCAATTTTGACGAATACCAATTAATCACATTATTTATGACAGCAATATTGTTAACTTGACATTTCTTAACCTCAGTTTTTATTTTATTCATTCAAATGCAGCAAGTCATGCCGATACTAACATTTGCTATGATCAAAACAATTAGTGATTTTAAACTTATATTTTGCATTACAATTTTTCTTAAACTGTTAAGTAGTCTCAAACCTTTCACTCTTTTCCAGTTTCTGATAGTTATTTGACAGTTGTCTGCTGGAATGCATGGCCTAACTTTCCTGTCTCTACACAAGCCGACAACTATCAAAATAGCTATCAGAAGAAGATGTATCAATCTTCTTATCAAGGGTGCTTAATTAAATATATGGAAACACAAGTAGACTGCCAGAGATATTTAGTCATAACACGGCTGATTCTGATTGATGACCAATTACTTTGCAAATTATATGAGAGCGCAGCTCTCTCGACGGCAACCGTCGAGAGCAAAGCTCTCTATAATGGTAACATCAATTCGTTTCAGAAAATCTATGCCCCACGGGTAGTCAAAAAAAAGTGAGAAAAAAGATGGCGGATCATGGGGGCCGCCATGTTTGTCGACAACTAGATCGCAGTCAATCGGGGTAGTTTCTGAGTGAATATTCTGGAATTCTTTCAATAAATTACGACAATTGTTTCAAACACAGAAAGGGACTTTTTGTACCAACTTAACAACCCTTACGTTTTATTTCTATTTTTCCTGGATATTCTCTGCGTCATAAGGAATAAAATGACAGCTTTGACCTAATTTCCCAAGACTTTCTCCCAAGCAATGATGGCGGCTTTGTTGACATCATACGTCACGTTAAAATGACGTCATCGTTATAGATGAATTACTTTCACACCTTTCTCTAGATACCTTATAAAAGATTGTCTACAGATCTTATATTCATACCTTCACACATATGATTAGAAGACAAAGTAGTTTGCATTACATACAGATCAGGTTGAATTTCTTTTTATTGTTATTTTATCAATAACCTGCGCTCTCATTCAAGGCCATGCCTTCATTCATATTACATTAAAATGGATAATGGGCTGGTTTTAGATCTAGGCCAAAGGCAAATTGACAAATCTGGGTTAACTTACACAGCCCAGGAGCATCTAAAAGACCATTTATTCCTCTATCTACCAGATCTAGTTCGGTGTTATTTGTATCTCGGCATTCTTCAACGGCTTTCTTCAACTTCGCAGACATCGCTTAATTAATCTAATCGTCTTTAATTTAAATAAACTCAAACATTTGGCAAAATTTTTCTACTTTTCCATTAAAGGAATTGTTTTTACCGGAAGTGCCTAACAGCACCTCGATTTGAGGAGTGCCTATAAAATATAGTTCCAAAATAAAACCACGATTTCATTTTAAAATAAAGGTACTTGATTTTTTTTTTGAAATTTTCCCATAATATTGTTTTCTCAAGAAAAATTTTTTAATGGTGTAAGTGTACATAACAATGCTTTGGTTATAGCGAAATTCAGCGTATTAATCGAGCACCAGTTTTTATTTTGGATTATCCAGGATTTTTTCGATAGCCGTACGTCTGGATAATATTTATACAGATCAAAGGTGAAGGTTGAAAAACTTTCACTCCAATTGTTCAGGAAATGTTTGTTGATCAACTAATGATTTTCTAGAAGCGAAATTTATTCTTAGACGTAAACCTTGTAAGAGTTTGCATATTTTTTTATTAGCCTGTTGCTTAGACTGTTTGGTACTCTTTCTGAATTTTTACCGTGTACCTTGCCTGACAATGAGTCGCCAACACTATTATTATGAATGAGTAAGCTTGTTATGCCTTATGGTCTGAATTCATACTCAGTCACAGAGTCATAGTCATAGAGAGAGGGGCATAGTCCAAACTGCATCATGCATGGCATATATAATCTTATTAACTAACTATTATGAAAACTTTGTCTTAATAAATCAGTAATTCAAATCCCACTGAAGTTACTAATCCAATTAACACCATAACAGGTCGTTACACGACACTGATGCTCTGCTTCTTTCATACAAGCCAAGGTAATCCACAAAGGCTTATTTTTTCTATACTGCTCCAGCATGAAAATATGTCAAATGAATCTTTCGAGAATCATTCTTTTCTATATTTTTTTAACTTAAGGCAGGCCAATCTACCTTGTGATTTTGTTGAGTTTTTGAAGATAATATGTTTAGATTAGAAGAAATAACAACATTTACTGGTCACAATGAAGCAGTATGGTGTGTAGCCTGGAGTCCATCAGGTTCTCTCTTAGCATCATGTAGTGGTGATAAAACTATTAGGTTTGTCCTGTTTCCAAAACTTTTCAGCATAAGCCTAAAGCAGTTGACAGAATTTTGTCATTACACAATGTTTTGATACAAATGTATCACAGATACTTATATTTTATTTATTTTTTGCAAGAAAATAGTTACAAATAAAGCATTTGAATCAAACAATCTTGTAAAACACACAACAAATCAGTTTACATTTAGAATTTCCTTATGAATATGTTCTGGTAAATAGGATTTGCTGAGGCTTTGAGTTTTAAAGTCAATTAGAATAATGTATGGTACGCCAGTTGTGAAAATAGGCAAAGTTTATTATTTTTTATAGATAAGTAGTGAGCTTGTTTGTATTGATTACAGAATATGGGGTAAGGAAGATGAAAAGTGGGTGTGTAAAACTGTATTAACAGATGGTCATTCTAGAACTATACGTTATATCTCCTGGTCACCTTGTGGTCAATATCTAGCCAGTGCCAGTTTTGATGCTACAGTCGTTATATGGAGTAGAAAAGATGGTGTATTTGAGAGTATAGCTACATTAGAGGGACACGAGAACGAAGTAAAAGCTGTGAACTGGTCAAGTTCTGGTAGTTTAATAGCTACCTGTAGTCGAGATAAAAGCGTCTGGATTTGGGAAGGTATTATTCAACAATTCTTTTTTGTTGTCAAATATTGTCCACACCATAAAATTTGGTAAATATGATTGCAACAGCCTGTATGACTTTGTCTGTGAAAAACATGACTTTGCCTATCAATTTCTCAATACTTGGTACAAGTTAAGGGCAATAACTGAACAGTTCAATGACAGTATGACACATTGTAATATTTTGACTTGTTGAAGATTTTATCATTTTAATGGACAGACAAAATGTGTTCACATATGAAATGTGATAATATGTGAATGTATAAAAATATTAAAAGATATGAACTTTTAACATAAGAATTATGACACATGACAGGTAATTACAGTCAGACAAACCTGGTTTCTGTACAGATTACAAACAATTTAATCTGTTAAATTATATAATTTTGTACCAACATCTGACCAGCTCTCAAAAAAGCATTAGACTTTTCTTAAGGACAATTTACTCACTGTTATGTTGTCAACTCAACAAGTTGATTATATTTATTGTAATACAGATTCCTGCAATAGTCACTTGATATTTTGACCAAAATGTACATCAGGGGTTTGTTGAAATTTAACTTAAATTGCTTGAAAGACAACAGCTTTTTTATAGTGCTCACTCTACAGGCAACAATTCTTTATGGATTCTTTTGATCTTTATTTTGTGTGTCAATGTCATTATGAAGATGATCCCTATCGATTTTCGTGATGATCTGATATATCTTGTCTGACTTAGTGTTTTCATTCTATTACCGTAGTTATATTGTGCATCACATGCTCACTTTACAGGCTACAAATCTTTATGGATTCTTTTGATTTTGATTTCGTGGGTCAATATCATTATGAAGATAATCCCTATAGATTTTCAGGATGATCTGATAATTTTTCACCAAAATGTTGTTTTCAACTTAGTGTATTCACTCATATAGTGCAACTTTTGTTCACTCTTCAAATAACAATGCTTTATGGATTCTTTTGATTTTTATATACCCACACATAGTATGGACGTTTATTGTAATCGGTCTGTCTGTTCACAATTGGCTCATGCCCACTGTACAGGCTACAAACAATGATTTGTACCCCCAAAGAAATACAGGTGTAGAGAGGTCTCCAGACTACACTGACTATCAGCTTTATATAACTTGAAAATTTGTTTATCTCTGAACAAACTCCATCATTATTTAAGGATTACAATCCAAAACCGAGGTTATGTGTTAAAATCATAATCCAAAACCGAGGTTATGTGTTTGAATTAATTAAATTTTGTTCTAAAACCTTGTAGGTGCTCAGAACATTCTCATGAACTTATATATATCTCATATACTTCTAAGAGATAATAGAGTTGAAAATTTAAGATTAGTGCAAGAAACCCGGGCTTTTTTCCTGAACAATGCACATGTGATATTTGATATCAAAATTAGAATTTAAGAACACAATGGAGGAAAAACAGATAAACTTATCAAGTAAAATGATTAATAATTTATAGATAAATCTAAGAAGCCATAAAAGAGGGGTTGCTATTATCAAAGAATTGGTAATTTATTTTGAGTTGATTCCTGAAAATGATTTGTTTATAATTTTAGTTACAGAAGATGAAGAATATGAATGTGCCAGTGTTATGTCATCACATTCTCAAGATGTTAAACATGTAACTTGGCATCCTCATAAAGAAATCCTGGCATCCTGTAGTTATGATGATACAATCAAACTTTATAAAGAGGACAATGATGACTGGACTTGTTTTGATACATTAACATCCCATGATTCAACAGTATGGAAAATTTGTTTTGACCAATCAGGTAGTAGATTAGCATCATGTGGTGATGATCAAACTGTGAAAATTTGGCAAGAATATGTACCGGGGAATGAGGAAGGAGTTCTAACGAAGGGAAACGACTCTGTATGGAAATGTGTGTGTACATTAAGTGGATATCATGAGAGATCTATATATGATATCTGTTGGAATGTTGAAACTGGACATCTAGTCACAGCTTGTGGTGATGATGCTATCCGCATCTTTGCAGAAGACTCATGTTCTAGTAAAAATGAACCTAAATTTAACCTAGTTACAACTGTAACCCATGCACATGCCCAAGATGTTAATGCTGTTGCTTGGAATCCTAAAATTCCTACTCTGTTGGCATCTTGTAGTGATGATACAACTATCAAGTTGTGGAGAATCATTGAATAAACACATTAAATATTTTATATATAACTTATCTTTTATTTCAGAATGTCAATATGTGACCATTAACTTACAAAACCAGTTAATTTGGTCAATATTTTAAAATAGAAATTAAGATTTCACTGAAAATACCCTATCCTGTCCAATTCATCTTTGTTTTTAAAATTGACCCTAGTGGCCTGTTTTGTTGGAAATATTAATTGTACATAAAATAACATCAAAAACCTGTAACAATATCTTCATAATAAAATGTAAAACACATAGAAAGGTATAATTAAATCATACATCTTCAAATAATATATCAATGAAACAGTTACATAACAAATTTAATTAATTGTCTTTAGTCTTTGTTTGTTTCTGTGTTGGTAGAAATGTAAAATGATAAGATGAACCTACTGGAATTAATTGTGCTACAATTGCATATCTGAAATGACTTCATCATAGTACAGATCCATATTGACACATCTGGTTAAATATCTGCCAATAACCAATGTTGTTTCCTCAAGATAAATCATTATTGTCATTAGCCTACAAACCAATCAGGCATACAATTTTAAAGTATATTTTGGCTATAAATGTTTTAGTAAAAGCAATATGACACAAGATAGCATAATATAGTGACTTGTTTTAAAAAGTTTATAGTTCAGATTTTGGAGTGACTGGTTTTGTAGATTCAGCTGTGGCAACTTTTTCAGTTGGTTTGGCATTCGTTCCATAAAGTGAATATTTCTCTGCCAGGAATTTCATCAATAAATCAAAACATGACCAGGAGGTTAATTCATGTTGATCAGTTCCTACGACAAAATAAACTTACTATTTCACTTCTACACACTTTCAATTTTGTGCTGTTTCAATTCTAAGCACATTTTCTTTAATTGGTATGACCTGTTTGATATAAGGGAGGGGGGTTTATACACTCAATAGCTTTTTTCTACTTTTTAAGTTATGCATCAAATTCCAGATTAAATATGAGATCAAGATGTACATTATTTTTTTTCTGCAAATACTACATGAATTGGCAATTTCTTCATAAGAAGTGGTCAGACAAAACAAGTCTATGTTTAACAATAAATACTTCTCATTTCCCATATGTATACTATAAATCTTTCATTGAACAAAACAGATAAAACCCAACCAGGAGTAATAGATTTATTAAGTACTAGATAATATACCTGCTGATATTCGAGAACAGTCTTCTACTTCAAAAGAATCCACAGGTTCACCCAATTTGTCATTACATGATACATAATTCACTGCTCTCTTGGAGAATAAAATGGTATCAATATTTATCCAATTTTATAGATGACACATGTATCAAATTTGAATAAGAAAGTGTAATAACATGAGCACACAAGAGGCAAAATATATCTGAAACTACATATAACTGATTTTACTGGCTTAAATTATTATGGAATTCAGTTTTTAGCTCATTGCACAAGAACATGCTTAACTGAAACAATTTAAAGGCAAAAGATACATGTAACAAAAAACATAGGGTAAGATCATGGTATTACCAACTAAATCAAATCACATAACATAATGATGACAAAAAAGTTGTGTTGAAACATTTTGTGTTAAAGGTATAAATAACATTAAATATGATGAAAGACCAGTAAAATAATTTACCTGTTTAAAGAAGTCAAGTAATGATTTATCATCTTCTAGTTGATGTGTTAAACTATGAACAGAATCAGTAAATCCGATACCAAACACTCTACTATTAAACTCATTTGGGAACTCTTTAGCCTTCAAAATAATTGTCAAAAATTGTATTTAGATTATAACTACAAGCTACATACACGTCTAATATCGTCCCCTGATCCCCTGAGTGACTTGGCATTTCATTGGTTATGGTAATCATGTCACTATACATCATGTGATACACACTTTTTAGCAAACGAACTGGATACACAATATACTTCATCCCGTCAAAGATTCCATATTAAATCAACCTTGTACCCACTAAGGAGAGGCCTAATCTAGGATCTTTCTTTTACATCTGGCGGTATTAAAATTCTTAAATTCCAAAGGATAAGATACTAACTTTTGATCTGAGTATTGTTTCTACCAGCTAGTCATTGATCTTTCCTAAGATCCTAACACAAAAGTGTGTAATATGTGAACTGTAAATTTTAATTTCAACCATAAAAGTGATAAAATCATGATCATCATTACATAGGTTAAGATAGCTTGCCAGGCAAGGTAATATATGCACACTGGCAGCTTTGATTTCAAATAAAAATATTTGGCAGTACAGTAACAATTACCAGTCTGAAATATTCAACCTTCAGACATACACTTCTTTTGGACTTTTTGAGGCTAAGCTGAATAACATTACCGGTACCAAGTTTTATCAAAATCTGTCAAAAATTGGGCCTTCTATAGTGTTTAAAGGCTAAAACTTGAACAAGTTTTTTAAGAGCAATAACTCATACTAAATATTTTTTGATTCTTCTGATTTTCGATAAGGTTTATCCTTGGTTGACAACAAACTCTCACGCCAAATTTCGTCAAAATCCATCAAGAATTGTGGATTTGAATTTTTTCGATTTTTCTGATTTTCTGAGTTCATCCTTGGGTGATTGCTAAAACAGATACCAAGTTTCAATAATTCATACTAATCTTTTTTTTTCATCGAAATCAGTCAAGAATTGTGACTTGTCAATAACATGTGGGCATATAAAAATGATAAACTTTATTTTGAATTTAAAAAGAACAACTACCATTTCAACAGTAACAATACCACCGTAACTATGAGCAACTATTCCTACATTCTTAGCTTTAGCATTCCTTACAAAATTTTTCCATACATAAATACCATGATCTTCAGGCGTTTCATTATCCTGAAAAAATGATAACAAACTAGTTTTATTTTCTAGACCAGATTGAAATATCCTCCACAGACATATAACAGGCAGTGAAAAGAGCAAGGTGTGACAGTATCCATGACAGAACGATAAACCTTGAAACACATTTAATTAAATATATTATTAAATGTTATGATTTGATACTGCTTTCAATGAAGCAGATTATTCTGCAACTTTGAGATTATCAAATTGAGAAATATTTTATGCATTTTGGATAGATTTGTGACAAAGCTGACAAATATTTGTGTTTAAATTTTCAGCTTTGATAATTAACCCTGCAATATGGTGAGGAAATTTGCTTTTAAGACTGAATTGGGGACACTATCATATAATATCATATTAAGGGGGCTTACCCTTATAGGAATATCTTCACCATTTAATGTTACTTTATTTAAATTAGTATTGAATACTATTATACCATAACCTTGTTTTATACCAGCTTTAATATACTGGAGTTGTGTCCCTTTCTCCAGGTCGTTATTTATTATTAATCTGAAAATTGTAAATATTTACAGAATAAATGAAAAAATATACGCAGAAAAATTAAAAAATTCCCATAACACTTGATGATCCTAGAATCTTAGTGGAAAAGATCCTGTTCTAAGTAACACTTTGATTTCGAGTACTGGGCTGCAGTTGTTCAGAGTTCATTTGAAAAAAAATTGCCACGCGTGCTACTGCCTGTAGATTTCAAAGTGGGGCAAGTAGTACTTCTGTCCTTAAAAAATTTCTCTTGTTGCACACTACATGGCATAGCTCATTTCAATACCTAATCAGATGTAGACAAGTAGAGCATACCCATATCATTTCAGGTATTAATTTTATCCTTAGGATGAAAACCTACACAGATACATAGAACAACAGACACCTTTTTCATACAAAAGACTAATGTTAAAAAGTGTTATAATTTACTGACTTGCGTGCCCACTGTCCAGCTCTCACTACACCAGCACCATGTATTATTAATAATAATTTATCTTCATTAGTTAAAGCATCATCACTCATATAAATAAAACTTTTGGGTTCATCATCTTCAGCATCTTCCTATAATAAACATAAAAAAAAACATTGGTTATCAAACTCCTATGAAAATATGAATGTCTAATAAACCATCTTGTCCATGTACAATAACAAAGAGAGTGTACGTACATCTGTGAATTAAAACAATAATCAGTCATCTCTATTCTGATCATTACCAATTTGAAACTTAACCGAGATCGCATCATTATATACATTCATCAAGATTGAATAAAGACTAAAGTCTCTATGAAATGTGGATTGACAGACGGACCGAGCAATGGACAGGGCCGATAGCAATATACATCCACATTTCCTAATCAATAGGCTAATGCCGCTGTCCTGGAAAAATTTCCCTCCTTTGCACAATGCATGGCGTTGCCTGTTTTTATTAGCCCATTAGGTGCAGAAACATAGGACGTAAATCTCCATTCATTCTATGTCATTTTTTGAAATATTTAAAACAATAATTCAATCAGAAATCTGAAATACTAACAGGAATGTAATATCTCTTTAAATTGGTTTCTTTCTCTAATAGGTCATACACATATTCAGTTATTAGCTGGAAATATAAAATAAAAATACTGGTTGAAAACAAAGATGAAGTGTTCTAGCTACTGGTGCCATCTGGAGTTGACTTATTAGCATAAGCCTTGGCTTGTTTCCATAGTAGTTTTGCAAATATCTCATGTATTAATGATTATTTTTTTACTTAAAGTACAATATCGTTTAAACTATTTGTAGTCAATTCATAGATGCTTTACTGACCTCGCCAAGGGCTTCATATCGTTTTTGGTTGTAGCGGTGAGATGTCTTTCTTTCCTCAAAGTTAGTTAAATAATGTACATCTCCAGTTTGTTCAATCTTCTTCATATCTCCTCTAGGATCATCTCTTTTAACAAAAAAATTAAATCTTTCATCTGTTTCAATATTTCTTAATTCTCCTTCTATAGTAAATAAAGTAAGAAGATATTTTATTTTCAAATAAAGGGTACATTACAGAACATATTTTATTTCAATGAGTAGGAATATAGTTTGCTTGATATTAAAAATTGTACAACCTATGGTACACATGATATATATTTATTTTCCATACTGAAGACTAGAAATTTGGAGTAAATTTAAGGATTGTGGTCTTAAATTACACATACAAGCATTGTGTACTGGAGATTTATCATAGTATAACAAGTACCATCAAGTACAATCATTTAAAGAATCATAGACATAAGAACTAGTGTTATTGTTGTCTTGTACCTGTAAACCTATCAATCTGCAAGATGGGAGCCAAAGCTCTTGACAGCCCTTGTATGTACTACTAATATAACTTAAAGTATTTAATTTTACTAGCATTTGGAGTTGTCTCGACATCATCAGGTGATTTTCACCGACGAAAGCTTGTAGAATAAATTACTTTAGTCACTCTTAAAAGGTGTCTTCTTACTTCTTTTATTATACAATAACAAAAAGTGATACGGCATTACTTTCAATTCTACTGATACATCTCTGTGACTCAGTATTTCATCTCAGAATTCCTTTCATATCAGTTAACTAATAGTGTTAAAGTAAACTTGCCTTTTCCTCCTTGTGACCTCTTGTTCCCATAAGAATATTTACTTACTTTCATTAAATTTGAAGCCAAATTCTTCTATTGTTTTTGGAAAGACAAATTGTTCTTGTTCTTCTTCTTCATCACTTACTGCTAAAATGTTTTGGTTAAAGTGATAGAACATAAGCTTATATATATAAATATAGCAAAAATTCGGTGATATGCCTAATAATGCAAATTTTTCTTCTGTTTAAAACTAAAATCTGTGTCACTGTCACTTGCATTAATGTGATATTTTTTAATCAAAAACTGTAATCACAAGAAGATAAAAGCGTATTTACCTGAACTTGTTGTACTAGCCATTGTCTATAATGAAAAAACTAGTATTTAATATCATATTATGTTCTATAATATGTGTATATTATACATCACCAGTATTTTACATTATATTCTATAATATGTGTATATTAAACATCACCAGTATTTTATATTATATTCTATAATATGTGTATATTATACATCACCAGTATTTTATATTATATTATATTATATAATATGTGTATATTATACATCACCAGAATTTTATGTTATATTATATTCAATAATATGTGTATATTATACATCACCAGTATTTTATATTATATTCTATTCTATAATATGTGTATATTATACATCACCAGTATTTTATATTATATTATATTCTATATGTGTATATTATACATCACCAGTATTTTATACTATATTACATACTATGTGTATATTATACATCACCAGTATTTTATATTATATTACATACTATGTGTATATTATACATCACCAGTATTTTATATTATATTATATTATATTCTATGTGTATATTATACATCACCAGTATTTTATATTATATTATATTCTATAATATGTGTATATTATACATCACCAGTATGTTACATTATATCATATTCTATATTATGTGTATATTATACATCACCAGTATTTTATATTATATTATATTATATAATATGTGTATATTATACATCACCAGTATTTTATATTATATTATATTCTATAATATGTGTATATTATACATCACCAGTATTTTATATTATATTATATAATATATGTATATTATACATCACCAGTATTTTATATTATATTACAGTGGTGTAACGTATTTTTTATATATAAGAATGAATCCAATAGTTTCAAGTAAGTAAAAATGTATTGATGTATACTTAAACAAATACAAAATGGCAGATTTCACTTATTACCAAACGTCACCATTTTTATCAACCGAATTTCCTTCTAATCCCAAGCTGTAATCAGAATTTCAAGTGTCGACAGCTAGAATGTAGTCCAATGAATGAAGTAACGTGATCAACTAGCTGTTTCTGTGTCAGCAGAATATTTCTAGATGGAACACAAAGTGTTTTGTCAGTCACTATTTTTTTTTTAAATCGTGGCTCTTTGAAGGAATTGTCATTAGTTATAATGAATTGATATTAAAGATAAATACTAAGAGAAGTTAATTTTACCACCCGGTATCCATGCAACATGTTTTTCTCGACTTATTTATAAATCAAACATTGTAGGTGACGCATTCTGCTGCCGTTGCCGAGTTGGTTGCTTATGAAATATGGGTCAAAGTTAAGGATTCATAAAGAAAATCGAAATAAACCAATTTTAATTATTATGTAGAATATCTTAGGAAACATCTAAGACATAAAAAAAAAATCGTTTTTTTGACTTTGACGAAATTCGGTGTTGAATCTTTATATGCACGAAAATAGGTTACACCACTGTATGCCTAGGCTAGTATAAAGTCATATTTACAAATAATGACTTTTACAGCTGATGGTGGCATGCCGAATTTTGTCAAATGCTTAAGTTTGCTTCTTACCAACAGAAATATATAAAAACCAAAACGCTGTACCATCCGAACTAGTATGAATCTTGAAGTACGTACTTTCTTCTCATTCGAATTTCATATGTAAATGAAATAATTGGCCGCCATCTTTAAACAACTTGAAAGTAGGGCTCGAATGTAGTGTTGGTCGCGAGTCTTTTGGGAAGAGAAACTGGTGTTTTGTGGATTATTTTACATTTAGAGCTGATTCTTGCATTTTTTTAACAATCTAAATAAAAAGAGAGTGCACAAATCTTTACAAATATTTGTTATGAAGTTGTATTTGGTCTCTCAATACGCGTAATATTACAATATCGCGTTGAGAATAATGTGTCAAGGGAAGTAACTTCTGCTTGACTATAAATATAATGTAGTATCAATAAATCGATTTATTTTGACCGCGGCAACTAAATGAATTTTGTTTATCTTACAGTGGTCGAACAAATATTAATTATTCTTATTTGAAATGGGTGTGTTATATGTGGGCGGAGTTGAAATGCTGAAATTGGGTACCCTTATCTCAAAGAATCTTTTTAAAACTTAGTCATTAGCTTTGCGCTCGTCTAATTTTGAAAATATGTGGAATACTATATTGAATAAGAATTACCAATGCAATCTAATGGGATGTAGGAGAAAATATCGATCAATAAAACGTATATAAAAGATTTCTCTCTAACAGGTAACATGTAGGCCAATTTTTACTCGTGTTTGTTTTTTACGCTGTGGGCACAAACGATTTCAAGAGAAATTTGGTCAAAATATGATGGATGGGGAGTCAAGTAATCCCCTCAAACATGATTTTACATGTTATTAGATAATGTATAAAAAAAAAAGTGTATATAGGTTTGAAAACTAATGTCGAAAAAAGCCAGAATCTCCACTCAATAAGACGAAATTCGTTAAAGCATCATCCTTTTCAAGCTCATGTATGTAGGATATTTATGGTGGGGTAACATGTTCAGACAAAGATAACATGGATGTTTTCGGAATATTTTATTGAATTTTCGAGCTACTATCTTGAGTTTTCTAGATGCAAATGTCGAATATCTAGATGGAATATCGGATTATGTGAAAAATATGTCAGCTGCACATTTAATTATTTGGTATTTCATATTATCTTTTATTTACGACTGGCCTACATTAAAATAGAAAACTCGTTCACGCGAACTAAATTCTTGAAACTAACCCCGACCATCTACGTAGTTAAGCCTTAGTTATGGAAAAGCTATTTTTGATGCAGACTATGGACTTGCATGTGACGAATGCATGACTCTAGTGTTTAATTACCATTCCATTCATCAGTATTGTGTCTGGAACCCAATATGAAGCAACAGGCTGGCTTAATTAGTAGCTAGTTGATTATATTTGGTGTAAATGTGCAATTAGGTTCCATTCAATAAAGCCTCCAGACTATAAAACCCAGAGTCACAGCCAGTCCGTTCTATATATATACAGAAAAGGTTTAAAACTATTACTGCTTACGACCTCTGACATATAGAGAGAACTAATTAAGGTGCAATTAACCATAACTGTCAGACTTATAGTCTATGTGGCCTTGACTGCTTTTAAATGAATGTATAATATATACACTATATTGTACCCTATGTTGACCTGTATGTTACTCTTATCAGCTGATTTTGTTTACATATAGTTGAAAACCAAGATTCTTATGTAGGACGTCGTATATAGCTAGAATAACGATATGCTATGATATGATATACGGTAGTAAACTTGTACAGTTTTAGCTTTGATTCTAAGAAGGTCCAAACGGATATTACAATTTACAAACGGATTGTTAGCATACAGTTTATTTAGGAATCGGGCCCAGGATACTATAATGGAAGACGATATTATAAATGAAAACGGACCTCCAAATGAACTCAAACCAAGTTCCTGCATCGACGGTAAGCATTTGATTCCTTAAAGAGGCAAGCAAATAGAACACAAGCTTTTAAACTGGTCTCTCTTTTATAATCCGGCTAAGAAGTATAGCTGGGTGGATAGAAATTGGAATGCAATCTTAGTAAGAAAAAATCAGTCAGGTGCATCTAGATATTCATGATCTGAAGGGATTGCAATGTAGAGGTTCAAGGCATTGGTTTTGGTATTTCAATTAACCCAACAAAATGTATTAATGTCATAACTCCCGGAATATAGGAGTAAAATCTTTGCCAGTCCTATATACATGTACAAGGACGAGTAATGTTAATGAATTGACTGTCATAGAAATAAGGTTTATTCCCATAGACAAGTTAATAAAGGACCCTACTTGTATTCGAAGATAGTATCAGTTTACAAGAAAGTATAAAACAAGAAAGATGATCTTTTAAATCCGTATTTTGTACAAGGATATCAATATTGGTCGCTAGGATACCATTGGAATTAGATAATTCTAAGGAAATGAGATTGTTACCGTGCAGACTGTGACCAGTTTCATTAACAGAAAGATAGCTATTTAAAACGTATGTTGTCATGGATAGCAGTGAACGTCTGCAGTAACTATAAATCAAAGAGGTATTAACTTTTTTTTGTTGGATGCAAAAGTCAGTTTAGACCGAAAAAATAAGCCCCTTCAAATGAGGTAATTCCGCATCTCCGCAAGGGCGGGTTTTCTAAACCTATTTAGATACCCCGGATCTGCAAAACCCGGGTATATTTGAAAAGATGAATATTTATGTAGTTCAGTCAAACCATCATTTTCTCTCTACCCCGTTCATGCCATGTCTCCGGTTCCATCAAAGTTTTTTTTTTGCGAAACTGATCGAGCATCGGCAAGTTAAAACTGGGTGCACAGCCAAAAGCTCAAAAGTCACAGAGTCACATGATACTAACAAAACGAAAGTTATGGTGATGACCAACACTAGTTTACAATCATCTTAAAGGTAATTTAAGATTATGTTAGAGAAAACGCAGGTTTGGAGGTGTGGAAAACACCTATTTAACAGGGTCCTTTTCTTCTGACTCTAATCCGGCTGACAACTGTCAAATTATGCATAAGAGACTGGAACAGAGGCAGATGTTTCAACCTTAACTCAGTCCAACTGGAAACATTTAAAATCTGAGACAAATTACAGTAGTATCATTCTGAAACTACCATTGCAAGTTATTGTAGCCCCTAGACTAGACCTTGTCCTCTGTGGGTTAAATTTCGAAAATGCCAGTAAGATTTCCTCGTATTATCATGTCTTGTTTGTAGATAATTTGATGAAGTGTATACTTTTATAATTACCTCATCTGTATGATTTAATATGTCAGGAGAATAAAACAGGTTTGATATAACCACAAATCATTGTTCATTAATGGTGACTCACTGCTATCGTGTCATACAACATCTGCTCGCTGTTTGAATTTGATGATTTCATATGAGAGCATATTAGTGTCGGCGCCAGTCCCATGAGAGTTGGGTAGCGGTAGGGGTAGTAGGGCAGTTTGACTTAATGGGGGGACAATTTTCAAGGTTGAGATTCAAAATTCAGCAATTCTATCGAAGAAGAGAAATTTTGTGAAAAACGTTTAAAACAATCATATTTTTTAATTTGCCTCCTCCTGTAACCCCACTGGCGCCGCAATTTGATAGTATACGGAAACCATGAGGAAGAGAAGCTGTTTACAAAGTCGGTTGCAGAGTGGTATGAGGTGATCTCGCGCAAATAAAGGGTATACTTTTCACCTGTATTGTAAATTCAAAATTAATTTTATTACATTCCTTAATGTTACAAATTAATAGTAACAATAACTGCATACATCTAAATATAGTTCAGAGTTGAGCCAAACAGTCTTAACAAAGAGACAAGCGAGGACAATAAAACGTAACGTTGAATATCATTTTTGGTCTGGTGGTATAATATCACGACAAAGTGGCCTCTTACTTTTAGTTTTGAGTAAGGGCTACCTCATATTGTCAGTTTTTATTCATATGGCATTATATGTGATAAACGTTACATCTGTAAGTATTTGATTTTTATATATTCCTTATATGTTTTGTTACAATGTTAGCAAAACGTGTGATTTAAACAAGGAAAAATATAGAAAGAGTTAGAGAATGCTAATGTAGGTTTATATGTTGTTGATATAAGAAAAAGCTTAAAGTATGAGTGGATATGTTTATTTTCTTTGTTAAGTCTGCTAGTAATTTCTTATAGAATTACACCAGCTCGTAACACTTCAATAAGCATAAATATATAGATATGTTCATACTCGCATGACATTGACCCCAGGTTGACATGGCTATGTATTTTTCGGTTTTTGTCTTCTTTTTTTTAGTTTTTCCATGTTGGTATGTATGTTAAACTCTGTCATTTACCTTATCGAAAAGCTACTCAAAAACAGTATTGTACTCGCTTTATTTTTCAATAGTTTCTTAGATTTGCTAGTATCAGTATCACGTGCTAGACCCTCACAAAGTTCATTGTGATCATTTGGACAGCTGAGATGTGTGTAAAAGATTTTATACGTTGTTTTTTTTTGGACAAAATTGGTGACTCTCTTCAACCATATCCTGTTTCTGATTCTCTTACATCTTAGGGACATATAATGAACTGTTGAAAATAAAATGATATTATTGTTTGTATAAATTCTGATCTTTTGAAAATCATTAATAATATTAGTGCGGATCCTGTTGCCTGTTGCCAGTCTGTGATAATTATTTGGATGATTAGGTAGTAATTAGATGGACGTGCCCTTCTTGTATTCTTATACGGTGGCGTATTGCTAATTATAAATGATCTTTAACGCCACGCTGCACAAGATCAATTTTCAAAAATATTGTATATTACCGATACCAAAGTTATCGATATTGAAGTTTCTCCGAAGTCATCCAAGAAGTACCAACACCATTTAATACAATTGACTTAGTTCTTTCAAGTCTATTCTTAGTTGTAGTGTGATTGGCGGGTGATAATCTCTCGAAGTAATCCAATTGACTTATTTTTAAAGAAAAGACGAATAGAATCTCTAGATTTTGATTATCAATTAGTATAGTCAATATCTTGTATAACGTTATTATTACCAAACTAAAGGTCATGAATTATATATAAAGATGCTTTAAAGGTAGATTTTACCTTAAAATTTCTTACCAGGCAAGCAAAATACGCCTACGCATCTGTCAACAAAATCTTGTCTGAGGTTCTTTAAAATTTGATGAAAGCATCTGTCGTGCTTCTAGCCCGATCCTGCACGTTTTTACATAGACCATTTTGTTTAAGTAAAGCAACTCTAAAACCGTCTATCGAAACGTTCTCAACTTAAATATGTCTGAAATCTTATCAACCAACATAAGCATAGGCTACTATTTGGTAACGTACAATCCAATCAGTTCGATGTATATACAAACTTCCGTAATACAAGAATATTTGGTGGTATTTGCAGTATCTGACATAGTTCGTAATAGCTTGACATTGTGAAAATGGAGTGTGGCCGTTTGGATTTTTTGTTTTAATAATAGATTGTTGATCCGAGGGCCTGTGCTTTAAGTTAAGCTCTTGTAAATTAAAGCACGCAATTTTACAATGTTTTGGTGGGATGAGAAATAAACTTTTAACTCAAAAACTGGTTTGAGTGGACCTTTAAGCTCTAATATCCTATTTATAGTCTAATAATGAAGTGAACTCTTCAGTGGACATTTGACACATATTTATCAGTTCATCACCGTTTTATTGATTTTTTGTCAAAGTTTATCTGAATAGAATAGTATAAAACATTTGTGTTTTTACTCGCGGATCTGATTGTACACAAATTCGTATATATATATATAGGCCTATTATCAAATGTAAGTAATATTTGTTTAATTTCAACAGAGATAGAATATTAATGAGAAATGTGGTTTAACTATTCATGTATTTATTCAATAGGGAGTTTTGGAACTACATTAAACGTTAAATTGTGAAACCTTATTTTCAATAATGAAAAGTATTGTGTCCGGTGCAGTGTACTGTGTGGTTAAATTAGCTATACTCAGTCTGTAGAGGATGATGTGGCAAATACCTGATAAGATGCAAAAACGGTTCATTTCGTTTAACTTCTATTACATCTATGATCTTGCACAATACTGGACATTGTACCTCTTCTATTCATCTTTACACACCCAAAAATTTGCTTGTATAAGAAGTTCACCACCATTCTCAGAAACATACACTACTGTAGTTGAAAATTGACTTCCTACGTTTCATGCCCTCTGTTGATTATCACTGTAAAACATTGTTTATTAATACGCATTTTCAATTAACATTTTCAAAGTGTGCGACCTGGGCAAATACATACCAACCAATGATGGATATTTTTTATGTTTTTTTGACACATATAAATATGTATGACGTTTTTTGACAAAATTTAAGCCCAGACTGTGCTGCTGAATGAAATAATTATGATATTGATACAATATATGGTCATTATTTGTCAATTGTCTAGTATTTTTTTTTATCTCAAAATTGATAAAATCGTTGATTTTACAGTATATTATAACGTTTTGATTAGTTTAATACGTTAATACTCATGTTTGCTTTCCCGATTAAATCGATTGTTATTGTGAAAAGAATAATCACCTTTACCAGGATTTTACTTTATTGCTCTACATACTAGGTTAATGAATTTAGCTAACTGTTGAACTGTAGTTGAACTGTATTCGTAGAATCTACCTATCTTTTGTAAAGTAAAGGCATAACATCATTAAATGTAATGATATTTGTGAGCCTGTTCTAATGTTAGTAATAAAATTGTTTTTTAATCTCCTTGTTATATTCATTCAGTTTGAAACGACGACATGTCACAGTGGTTGTCTTGTTTTAAATACGTGATTAATTAAGATAATCTAGCATCTATCAGTTTGACACAAGTTTATATTTAATAAAGGGGATATCAGGTCATATGTTACATTTTACCTGTTGTGTTGTCTACAGCTTGTGGATTCGTGTATTGTATTAATATAGCTACTGATAATAGAGGTTATTTTTGAAGATCCTCTTGTTGATAAAATATCATAAATATTCGGTTTCATGTACCATTTTCTAACAATCTTATGTGAACACTGAGCACTATTTGAAGAAAGTGTGCTCCTATTGTTCCAGGTAAAATCAATGATTGTAAGTAAAGATCGTTGTTTTCGAGGTTTTATACTTGTCGCCCTGTCCGTCCGTCAAAATTTCTAGTGAGCACTATAGAGACTACAGTTTTCATCTGATATTGATAAAACTTGGTCTGATGCATTAGATTGATAAGATCTCGGTCAAGTTCGAATTTGAATTATTTTCGATGAACAGTTTTTGAGTTATTGCCCTTGACTTTGTTAAAACGCGTCGAAATTTGTTAAAAATGGTTCGTGAACAGGATTGAAGCTGTGTGTTTTAATTGTTTGTTGTATTTGGGTTATTGATTTTAAAAAAATTTGTGGAATTACTGAGCATAAATAACTGGCAGTAAATATATATATCATTGAATTCAAACTAATGAAATTTCTTTAATGTGAGAAAATTTGTACTTTAGTCATTAAAGACTACCATTTCTGACAGCTGCCAGTGGGCGTATGTTATCTTGCCTCACAACAAGCTATCTTGAATATTTGTCTTAATTGCTTACTTGTTTATTTCCAGAGCATGATTGGAAGATTATAAAAATGAGTCTACACGATCCAGAAGCTCTTCTGTTCGATGCTATCTTTAATGGGAATATCTTAAAGGTGAAGCAGCTGATCAATAGTGGTATCAACAAGAACACGGTGTTACACAGTCCTATACGATGGGAGGGGGCTACTGTGCTTGGTACTGCTGCATACTCGGGGAATCTAGAGATCGTGAAATTTTTACTAGATGCTGGAGCTTCTATCAACTTTCAGGATCCATGTTTGGCACGAAATGCCTTACACTGGGCTAGTATGGGAAGGGGGACTGATGTGGTGAAATATTTATCGGAATCAGGAGCTAATATCAACTGTTTGGATCGTGATAATATGACTCCACTGTTACAAGCTGCTATGAATAAACATAGTGATTCTGTGTGTATATTAGTCCAACAAGGTGCTGATGTAGATCAGTTAGATAGGTTGAGATGTTCAGGACTTCATTATTCTTCCATTAACAAAGACACTCGCTCAATAACAGCATTAATCAAAGGAGGATGCGTGCTCAATAACCCGGCTATATTCGGTCGAGGAACACCATTAGCTAATTTGGTCCATCATAAAGACTATTATAATATATTTCTATTATTAGAGGCAGGGTATGATTTGTGCAATGAAAAATGGTTGAGCACTATTCCAGACAATCAACGTACCGATATTATCTTACTCATACTAAAATATAAAACCACACCCTTATCTCTCCAGTCTTTGTCTAGAAATCTCATCAGAAATAGGCTGAAGCCTCTTCTATATGTAAACAGTCAGAAACTGTCGTTACCTAACAGCTTAAAGAAGTTTGTCTTATTGGAATGATAAAGTAAATTCATAGGGATAAATAATTGCCAGAAATACAAGTTTTTGTTTATTGAATTTGTATCAACCTTTTATAAAAAAATAAAATAAATGTTATGATTTCAGTGAATTTGAATCTGTAAATAATAAAACTGATAATAGTTTTTGATTTGGGCAGAATTCATGTATTTTCAGGAAACAATCACAAAAGTACATCCCTTTTAGAGCAGTTTCGAAACCAACCAAAGTATGACCTATCAGTATTATATATATGTGCAACGATGGTGCCTTGACAGTGTTGTCCAACATTGAGTCAGTCTGTCCCATGTTTGAACATCCAGTCTGGGGAGGATGGTGCCGCCACTGACAGACCATAAAGAACTTATTCTATGTACCTTACTAAGGCATATCAAACCTCAGACTACAAGGCTAGTGGGTAAAGAGATTAGGACTGCTTATTGTCAGAAAATGGCTAATTGGACTAAGAGGTTGAGGACTATGAAGGAAAGATAAGCAGAACAAACATCTTCAAATAAATCTTATATTGTTTATTTAGCAAAAAGCTTCTTGTAAATAATGATATATCACAATATCACAAAGAAAACTTAATCTTGTATATTTTAAAACAAATATGAAATTGGTCATGTAAATGTAAAAACTTTATCATAAGTGAAAACATTGTTTTCATAAATATAAAAAGTCTCTATTTTAAACAGTCACAATTACTAATAACAAATAATATAACAAAAATAACAAAATTGCTATTACAACTATTTCTTTTAGAATAAAACACATACATGAACTTTATTATCAAAAACAAAAATCATAATCATATCAATTTTAGGACAATTCACAACAGACTTTATAATTAATAATGCATACATGTATGTGTATATAATATATATTGGAATTCTTAACACCATATACAAAGTTGTGAGAATTAAAAAAAACTGACAATTTTCATTCACAGATGTTCTTTATTCCTCAAGCAACAGTGTAGATATTTATCATATCTTGGAGTATGTCAATCTTGTTTCCAACTATCAGTTTGGGACCATAGCACAACTGACAAGAGCTCAAATGACTGTCCAAAAAAATATTTTTACTTTAAGATATAAATACCACTACATAATAATTTCCTTGAACCAAAATAAAAAGCTGAAACAGAGCTGATGTTATAAACAGCTTTTAATTAAGTTTGAATTGGGCATGAATATACAGGTTCCATTTGACTTCATCAAATTATCTATCTGTATTTGTTATCATCAATTTGCTATGTAAAAGTAGATAACAGATAAAACATTTTTGACTGCAGGTCATTTTAGTAAAATTTGCAATTTACAAGTGATTACATAAAAATTATAAATCAAACTGTGAAATATATCAAACTTTGTTAAGATACTAAAACCAGTGAAAGAACAGATAAAGAGATTCATATATGACATCCTGGGGCATTTATAGCTTCTAGATTTTTACACTAATTATATGGATGATTCTTCAACCAAAATGTGGGACAAATTTGTATAATATAAAACAGATCAAGACTTGGTAGGGAGAAATGATATTCTTCATCTCAATAAACATCAAAATATGAGAAGTAATAGTGTAACTAAATGGTAATAACTTACTGACATTAACTGTTTTTTATTTTTTTTAAATAGTCTTTTCTATCCAATATTTCAATATTGATCTGATTCAACATTTGAGGTGTTTAGAATAATCATTCTTCCTAAAAAAAATTCTTCCTTTTTTTTAAAAATCTCATGTAGGGATTGGAAACATGGTGTTAAATAAAAGCCCAAGGTTGTCTTACACTTTATAGAACTTTAAGGTAAATCAGACATAGCTTTATCTATTTCATTTCTATATTTAGTAACCTGTGTATTTATATTACTATCTCCAACTTGACCATCTTCATATCTATAAAAACACAACATTATATAAATATATTTTATTATTTACTATAATTGTAATAGCTTTATGATATAGAAAAGTAAAATGAAATAATTATGGTCCTCACTAAAAATATCTATGGAAAAAATGTGACAATAAAATGATTAATCAAGTAAAATGAGCCATTTTGTCAGACAACATGTGTTTTAATATATCGTTGACAAAAAGTCATGGCAGCCCAGACAGAGTGTCCTGTTACACATAATTTGTGATTGAATTCATCCTATGGTTCAGTTTGGAGAAAGATTACTCCAGTGAAAATTTAGGTATACAAGAACTCACACGAAAAAGAATCTGGTACAAACATGGTCACTGTTAGCTGCTACCCAGATATCATTATTTTTCTTTAATTCAGGTGATGTTATCACTACAAAATAAATTACCACTATCATTAAATTGGAAATAGAACATAGCCTATGGGGAAAGGCATGAAGAAACAAAAACATCACTACATGATCCCTTATTTAATCATCATTACCAAAATTTCAACAAAAGAATAACCCAAAAATTATCATTACCTATGTGGACAGGGATAACTACAAAATAATCCATTTAAAATATAATTATCACAAAGTTTATAACAGCATTATCCTAATATCATCTTATGTGGACAGGAATAAAAAGAAAGAGTGCCTTTAGTTGCACAATAAACTGTTAGTTTAAAAAGAACTGAACTTACCTTCACATATAGCAATACAATTAATAATATTACTGTTTAAAAATCTTGTTGATTTCTGAAATACATTATAAATCGTATAGCAGGGCTGCTGATTTGGCTCTATCTGCCGGTCATGACCAATTGGGCAGCACAAATGATGGAAGTTCAATATCCCCAATCGGACATCCAGTATAGGTTAGCCATTTGTGCATGTCATTAAATGTCATACAACTTTCTCTTCATGTTGAAGAGAAATTATCCCTTCTCTACAACTGATTTTCGTGCATTATAAATTTAGTAGAAATGTTTCACCATTTGAAAATTCTTACTTTTTCTACCGTTTTTCCTTTTTGAGTTCGATGAACTCCATAACCCATTCTAGAATAACCAAATGATATAGATGAGGAAGGACTAAGGTAAATACCCTTACCATATGCTGAACCATTAACCTAAAATATAAAAAAAACAAATTATTATGATTAGCTTCCTAGTGTACATTGCCTTGTACATTTTAATAAAACCATATAAAAGACAGCCAAAACTTTGATGTCAAAATGTTCATGACAAAGAAACCTGACATGGTCATTATTTAACTGAGATAACATCAAATAACAATCTTATTAAAGTGTGTTTTTAGATGTTTTGTAATATGATTTTTATACACTTGACATCATTTATCTTACAACAGACTTCTTTAAATCATGTTCAATCTAATTGTGCCAAATTGCAACGAGAATTCTTCACTACTCACTCACTCATCCTATTATTTAATAATTAGCTGGTACTAAAATAGATAAATAATAACAATAACCTGTTTACTAGTACCAGAAGCTACAACCAACCCTTCTCTAATAATAGAGTGCCAATTCTCTAAACCTGAACCGCTGAAAAACACAAGTTACCACACAATAAGAGAAATTGTTATTCATAATGGGAAATATTTTTAGCTGCCATCTCAAAAATATATTAGAATATCTCAGACTTGGCCTCACTTAAAAATAAATCTCATCAATATGCCTGACCACACTAAACTTTGTCACAATCTTTTCAAAACTCTCCTCCATCAAATTCCTCACGATTTAAAGAGAAGATATCTAACTGGGTATATAAACACAAGTACCTTTAGTCACATATAAATCATCTAAACAATTAAAATATGTTTAAAATAGAGGGTAAAAACATTTTATATTGATTATCTATTGTAACCATATACTTACTGGAAAGCAAATGTACTACCATATTGTTTTCTTAAATCACAAAATTTGGCTTCTTTGGCAGGGGGACTACTTCTCAATAAAAACTGATGTGGTGTTGCCATAGAGGAAATAATCTGTAATAGTCAACACTTACAATACATCATGTAGTTAAATAATACTTTCTTTTGATATTCACTTGGAACATTTGAAAATGGGTTCTTTAGATTCTAAAATTAGATTAAGATTCATTATATAATTGTAAATAAAGTATAGTTTCTTCAGTGTTTGAAAGATAAATTAAAATAGATGTACAGATTTATTATTCAAATGATATAATTACCTTATTAGGTGAAAGTTTTACAATATGTGATCTATTACTAGATATTATCCTTCAAAAAAAATAATAAACATGGCAATATGGGTAAATAACAATATGTAATAAATAAATGTTTTTATGACATTCTAGATCACTTTTGATCTTGATCTGACAGATGTTTGGATCTAAGAGGAGCCTCTTTCTCAATTATAGCAGGCTACCATTACACAGTAGTTTTAAAAGACAGACACAAACTAAATTACCTACCATTGTAATAAAGGATAAGCTAAAATATTTCGGACATCTAAATTGGTTTTTAATTCCAGGCTAGTAAACATACTCATAGAATTCATATCTGGTATCATATTCATTATCTCCTCAATTTTACTGTAATCTTTATTCTGAAACCCAAAAAAATTAAATCATACTTTACTGTAATTTTTTGTTCTGTAATCAAAGTGTATCAAACAATACTGTTTATTTTGTAACTTTAAAATATGGCTAGGCAGTCATTTGAAACCAGTTCCTTCAAATGCAAGAAATTAACAGAAATACTGGACCTTATACCTTAGGACTAAGAGCAAGTTCTGTAGTTTTCATTGGATGAACTATTGTAGGATAAGGATCAAATATTATGGTTCTACGGTTACTTTTACAGGCAGCCTTTGACATGGTAACTAATAAATCAACAACCTAAAATAAACATAGAAAATTAACCAACACTTGCTTATAAATGACCTGCGGCATATCAATGTTTTATTAACCTAATCTGGATAACATCATTAACAATTTAATTTCGCTTACTGAAATTGTAGTCATTGTAGTAGCCCCCACGCCCCTCCTCCTATTTAACCCTTAGTAAATGAGGGTAGTAAAACTCACTTCAGCTCCTGTTGCTATATCAGCTGCAGCATCACCCATTACATGTAAAGTTTGGTAGGAAAATACACATAATTCTCTTGAACATACCGCAGGCTAAAATAACAACATCATATCTGTATATTATGGGAATGAGGTCATACATGCAAACGTGTATAGTGATCTTTTGTAGTATTTCAGCAATTGGTTAATGTCATATAAAAAATGGTTACAGGAATGTCACTATACCTTTAACATGGCACCATTTTGAAAAACATGGGGTTCATCACAGATAATACAGTACTCATTCAATGTTGGAATTCTTTGTCTTGCATAACGAAATACCTGCAATGAAAGGAATGGCTTGAGGCTTGGATTTTTGAAGGCAAACTTTGTTGAAATGAGCTTATCCAGTGTCAACATAATTTCTATTTCAAATTCAAGCATCATGACTGTTGGGTAATTATTGGAACTAAAAGTAAACTAAGCGAGAATACTGAACATTGGTTGATTCCAGGGTAGGTAACCTGTATTAAAACTCAGCCAAACAGTATAGATATCTCATTAGATAATCAGCCTACCAAATTTCATCTAAAAGAAATCTAGCAAAAAAAAAAAATTACTAAGTTAGTCTGACAATATCATTTCTGATTCAATCTACACAGCAAAGGATCATGTTTCTTCCATCTTGAATGAATGGACACATTTTGATGTCATAGCCTATGAATGCATTCCTGACAAAGAGAAACTAGTGTCATGATAAGCAATAATATGCTAATATCTCACCTGCACAAGAAATCCATTCTCCAAGCTAGGTATATTTTTAGAGTTAAGGCCCTTGATTGTTGATGATGGCAGCAAAGTTAGATCTTCCAAAGGAGCATTTGATGCTAAATTAGGTGTTGTAGCTGATGTAACCATAGATTTTTGCCTTTTTGCTAATTTTTTATTATACATTTTAAAACAATTTGGTTGTGAATTTTGACGGGATGGAGGAGGAGGTTTCTGTGAAGGCCCTGCAGTAGTTTTACTATTCATATCAACACAACTACAATTGAAATGAAGTGATTATAACCCCCTAATAATCATGTAAGTCTAAAAGCATGGTGTAAGGCAGTTCGGTCTGCAATTGGGTAAATGTGAAATACAAACTGACTAATTTATTCTCATTTTTCGATTTCAAAATAAAGAAAACATCTAAAAGCACAACAACAGCAAAGACTGATTCTGAGGTTTCCAGATTCAATCTCTGTCTCTGTGAAATGCAGCTGCCGAAATACAATTTTTAAAGAAAAATATTCCATACAGGAAGAAACCCTACCTCTCTGGACTAGTAACAAGGAAATTCAAAGCCTCCTGAACATTACCACGAGTAATAATCAATGAATTACGTGCTAATTCTACTGAAAATCCCATATCAACAATTTGACAAATAGCTGAATCATCAACATCATATACTGGATCTTTTATATCTCTACAAATAATATCAACTATTTGTTCACATAAACTGATGAATCAAAGATATATACATGTATAAGTTTAATGTATTCACTTAAGAACCATGATGAACGAATTATATATGACCTTGAATAAGTCATCTTCACTCATAATTCCAATCAATCCAGTTTTAAATGCATACAGATTATCTGGGAAAGATCAATGCCAAAAGGTTTGGCAAAGGATAAGTTGTTATCCTTGTAAAATATAGTTGCTTTTTTCTTTCTAATTTTCAGAGTGACTGAAAAAAAGCTTTTGGTACTCCTCACAACTTTCTGCTGGCGTATTTCTACCTGTAGTTGATGAAATGAGGAACTTTTTATTAATCAATGAAACCAGTCACGATTAACACACAAGGAGAAACATTAGGAAAATAAACTTATGTAGAAAATCATACTTGACTACAGACGGGCAAAATAATAAATCACTTACAAAGAAGATGTATCTGGTAATGCTGAATCATCTTTAAGTATATTACACAATTCTGTTGGTACACTGACTGATCTTGATATAGCATTATCTAATGTTTTATTACTGATCTTCTTCCATTGTTCTAATATAAACACCTCCAGAATTCTACAGATCAAATATTCATTTTCAACTTAATTTCACTGGTATTATATTAATATTTCATGCAGTTAGAATAAGCATCTTAAAGTATTGCTGAATTGGATGTATTGGCCATACCAACTGTTAGAAAATAATGCAGAGGATTTTGATATTTAAAATCTAAATACTTGATGAAGTTCACCTTTTACACTTTATGGATTTATCAATGATATACTTAATCTAGAATGCCAAGTACATACAAGCAGTTATAAATCTAAAATGATTTCAATTATAACTTACTTAGCCATCTGTATACCGATACTAAATTTATCTTTTTTTGATAGTTGATATACTTCAATCTTTGGTGGCACTGAAGAGACACATAATCTGAGTAATGAAGTTCAGAAAAGCATACATAAAACCAAAGATAGATAGATGTGAAAAATGTAAAAGGCAATGCCAGACCATAATAATGTTAGCCAGGTCAAGAATCAATCAGTTTATAGTAATTCTTAAAATCTGAATTTGATCTTAGTTAAGTTTTCTAGCATAATATTCCTGGACTATTTAAATTGATATCAAAATCTGATTATAGACATGAGATCTATACTGTTTTTACCTGCATAATCTAAATAATCATGTGATGACAGGTGTAATCTAACTACTATTGGTTCATCACGAGATATTTTCCAGGCACTTGTTACATCTTCTTCAAGAAATGACACTGGTATATTTAACTCTATATCTATTTCATGGATAGGATCTAATAACCTGAAAAAATAGCAAGAACCGATGAAGTGCTTAAGTCTACAGCAACTTAATGTCTCCTTTGAGGTTATTATGTGCTCTTGACTACTTTTTCAGACTGAAATAATCGGATATCAACAAATGATCAGGACCGTATCTAAAATATATGGACAGATTGAGTCATTCACCATGTTGTAATATATATGAAATTGGGATTTAATTAATAAAAAGTTGCTGCCTCAAATTCCAATTCAAATTATTAATATGTGCATATGTTCAAATTTCTATGACCCAAATCAAACTATCTTTTCTTTTTGATTTGACACCTTACCAATCAAAGTTATCAAACAGAAAGTGAAAGTACAATGTAATTTAGTCATAATATGTACATATAAGATTATATGAAATATAAAAATGCTGACCTGTGTGTGACTGATTTATCTCCATATAATAATTCAACTTGTTCTATATCAGACACTATCAAACTATTTATATCACAATTATCTGTCTCAGAAAACTGAAAATATTTCTTATCATTATTAAGAAATCAAAACATAAGTAGCAACTTGGCACCATCTATTTTTTTCAAACTCCTGTCTAGGCTCATATTATGATACCTCAAATTACATTCAATTACACCAAGTAAGCCCAGTACAGTTTAAAAGGCTTTAATGTTGTTTGTTTGATATACTTATACCATACCTGATTTTCATCAAAATAATCATCATATTCATCTGTATCAAATCCAGATACACAATCTTTATATTCAGACTGGTCTGATTCTTTACTTAATAACCTATTTACTGTTGGTTTACATAATAAATCCATTTCTGGTCCTCTTTCTTTACACAGTATATCTTAAATTTCAAATAAAATTTCCATTAAATATCTTTATTACATATAATAATACATATAATGCGAAAATTTCAAATTCATCCATAATTCTACAAGATAAACATGCAAACTTACATCAGAATTGATCAGTAAATCTAATGTTTTTATAACTCAAGTTTGATGATGTTTGGCCAAATCAAGAATAATAATTCAAACCTGATAATCGAAAAATTTTTCACATATACTTTTGAGCATATAAAAATCCTGGTTAAAATAATAAGATTATAAATTATATGAGTGATATTTAGGTACCTGTATCATATATTAATCATTTAGTGATGTATTGACTATCTTAGACCTCCGTTTTAAACACAGATTTGTTTACTGACCTGTGTGTAATTTTTGTAAAATAACTGGCACTGATCTATTTACTACTTCTGTCTTATTTTCTTCGATATAACTGAGCAACGAATTTTCTGATAAAAGATAAAAACTTAATGAATATAGTAACAATACAATTAATAAGAAGGTTAGGAATCCTCAGCAATAGCAATTCATAATTTTTATAAGCTTAATCATTGAATTGACTTCATATTGCATGTATGTAGCCTATGTATAGATAGTTATCTAAACTTTCTTGATAGATATGGATATAGGAGTCTATTTTGTTACTCTATTAAACAGATCTATTACAATGCCCTCTTAAATTAAACAAATAAGTATAGCAGAATCTTTACCGTTCCAGGGCAATATTAACATTTTCTTATGCAGATATCAAGTATCTGACATATCAATACACACTGAATGTGTCATCAATTCCTGAGCTACCAATCACATGCCACCCCTGACCATGGGTTTATGCTACAGCATCATAAAATGCTCATTTTTTCTACCTGTTCATGTTCATATCATTAAAGTTTGGATGCAGAATAACCAGTACCTCCATAAATTTTCCTAAACTAAATGTTCAATACAATTATATACCAACCTGGATATTCATCTGTTGCACAGAGAGAAAACTCAGCTGGATATTTACCACACCAACCAAACGTTACAATTAATCCTTCAACATGAAAATCTATAAAGAAAGGTTGAAATTATTTATCTAACCTGACTGTGCATTATCTTGAAAGTCACAATATCAAGATCTGGACATTCAGACACAGGTTCAGTCTGATTTCAAAATGATTCCTTTCATTTTTCTGATGCAAGACAATCTTGTTCAATAAATATAATATTTTGTTTTATCTATAGGGTACCGGTACAGATATTTCAGATTCAGAGGCTAATAAGAGTTACAAAGTGTGGACTAATGTTGTTTATTACTGTTTAAGTGTTTCTTCTGCATGTGTACAGTTGACACCATTGGTCATCCTTGACTGAAGACAATAAATCACATTCTGATTTCTTAATGCATTTAAATGCATGCAGAAGGATTTTGTACTCTAATTATTAGACATTTACCTTTAAACTTCCATCCAAATTTTTCAGTAAGTGATATTACATTTGCCACATCCAGTTCAAACCTTTCTCTGGTTTTGCAACATTGAGCCATGATTCTTGTTCAAATTTCACTTTCTAGCCCAATTACTTCCCTGCTGAGTGACTGCAGACTGGCTTGAGTTGGTAGGCGACAATTAAGTGACAAGATTTTAAAAGTTTTTTCAATAGGCTTGCCAAAATATATGTTATTTGGTTGTGTAACCATACTGCTCCATACCTCAATTATACATCGATAAACACCAAAATATGAAAGTTGTGCAATCTCTACTAGAATTAATTTTTGACATTTCTCGATATCCCAGTTTGTTTACATGGGAAGTAGATCCTGCTGTCAAAATGTCCTAAACTGATATCGCACCACATTGGTTATGGTCAAAAAGGCCCACTAGACTTGATTTTTAACCACACTCAATCTCAGAATCAATGAAGTATTATTCATTATTTGTCTATATTCATTTTTCATTATCAAAGCTATTGACTTCCATTCTTTTTTATACATGTTATGCCTCTTTGCAACGCCAAATTTATTAATTTTGTTCGGTATTTCGGACTAATACAATCAGGGTATTTACTGCGCATGTCTTGGAGTACCGACAAGGTTTCCGGTAGGGGAAACTTATTTTTAGTTTTTACAAAATGGTAAAATCCTGCAGCGCAGAAGGATGTGTTCAAAGATTCAAGTCGGGTTCGGTAATTACCTTTCACCGGTAACGATAAGAATTTATAATATTTATTTTTGGATATGTCGCTGCTTGCGGAAAATTTCGGCAATTGGTTGGTCAATTCGTCCAGTGGTCATGTCGTCCCTTCTTGGAATCTTGGCCATTTCGTTCCCCACCATAGAGTTATATATAACTCTATGTTCCCCATTGATATCGGCAGCCTAACTAAAATTGTGCATCTTTCGTGTTGAATACTGCTATTAGCATCACAGATGTGCAGCACTATATTTTGATCGCGCTTCTTAGCTACATTTTTCTATTTGTAGATTTCCAGCCGATGAATCTCTACAAATGAAATGGTTGCTAGCAGTGGGTAGATTTGATCCAGTTACCAAAGAACTATGGAAACCTTCAAAATTCCACGTATTATGCTCAAAGCATTTTCACAAAGATGACTTTTGTCTCTCAAGGCATAAAACTTTAAGACTGTTAAAAAAAAATGTTGTTCCATCCATTTTTATAAGAAAATCAAATAGACAGGTTAGGTAGTCATCTGGATGTTTTTATACCATCTTATTAAAATTCTCAAAACCTAGACTTTGTGTAAGACATGAAATAACCTTCCATACGCAGACATTGACAGAACAATTAGTACAAATGTCAGGTTTAATCTTTTTTTAGCCTCACAGTATGAAATGAACGAAAAAGGGTCTTTTCTGGTCATTGGTATTGTTAACAGTAGTCAAGATTTCCATTTTCTTGCAGCAGATTGACATTAATAGTACGGAAGTGTTTTGATATATTGACAAAAGCTAGAAACAAGACTGTTATCTCTGATTATAGAGTAACTAAGGTAAAGAAGTCATTACTGATTTGAACAAAATCAAAAACCGCTTTTTATTTTTTTTTTGTATTTATTGCTATTTGTGACGTGGTGTACTTATTCTCTTCAAATAAAATAAGTTTATGTCATGTAGCATGTTCCTTAAGCAATGGAAGATTATTCACATCTAACCGTTGCTTGTACAATACCATATTCTCGTCATTAGAGACTTAAAACCTCCCTTGGCAAACCTAGTCACTGTTAAGTTTATCCAATCAGGAACATTTGTCGTAAAAGGATTGTGATTGCAAATAGCGGCCTCCATTATATTATACGGAAATGTTGCAGTTTCGCACCAACCACCTTTTCGATAATCCATCACGTATACTTAATATTCAGATTTCAGAGCATTCTAACACTTCCGTCCATCTTAAGCAATGTTTTCAGGTGGGATTTTTCCGGTAATGGCGAAATTGAAGGGGACATAATTTGCGAATCATTGATTCGCATGCCATTTCAAATATGATATCCTGTTTTAAAGATTATAGAAGATATTCTTTTCATTGGTAGTCTGAAAACTATATAATAGCTGTTTGAAAATTGACACTTTATGACTAAAAACTCAACCGTGAACTTTGAGACTCAATTATCAGAAAGCATATTGGTTACTAAAATTTTGCGTTATTCAAACATTTTCCCGCAATAATTTGTTTGAAGGAATCTAATTGGTAGAGAAGTAACGTTGCTTATTAAGGAACATGTAGCAGAGAATGGATGAATCTGCACTAGCTATTTAAATGTATGATCAATTATTTACAGGTCAGAAACCAGCATTCCACAACACCACCTGCATTACCTTTTATACCAAGTAACTCCATAGCCAGTGAGTCAACCACAAATATCAGTGATCATACATACTATTGTGAATTAGATACATTAAAACAGAAATATAATGACATTTTACAAGAACTTGAGATCACTAAGACGGAACTGTTTAACTCTAAGAAAAGAGAAAAGTGCGCACAGCACATGCTCAATTTGGTACTTAATGATTTAAAAGTGTTAAATGAAGTCAAAAAGTACTGCGAAAACATAAAGATGAATTGGAATTTCGATAGCTCTACCACTGAAACTAGAACTCTAAACTGGAACACTTTTTGGTCAATTTTGAAAAGAGGGAAAGGAAAGTGTAATCAAACAGTAGTTGTTGCACATTATTTATATTTGCTATACATTTTGTGTTCTACAGTTTAAGGGCAGTCTAATAATTTGACTGAGATTATGGACATGGTGAATTGGTTAATAATGTTACATCCCCTTTTCTGTTCTGAATAAAGCATTAAGTTATAGCACGTTTTACTCTGTAAATTTATCAGGTAGAATTTGGGATGATCGAGGTTTTCTGCGCAGATCATAATTGACATATTACAGAGGCCCCGGCGTCCCTTTGCAGAGTCATGGTGGTAGGTTAGGGGGGCTTTCACCTGAAAAATTTTAATATGGAAAGCTGAAGAATACATCTAACGCGATTTTGGAAGTGAAAATAGTATAAATTGAAAAAATGCACGTGTCAGACAAGCAATTGACATAATATAACATTATAGACCGGGAGCTAGGTGGAGTTTAATCATAAAGTTGAGCCCAAAAGGTTTGATACCTCCATTGTGAAGACATTACTACAGGACTTCAAAATCAAGAATTCTTAAGGTCCCCGCTTGGTGCGTTACCTAGGCACAGCTCCTCAAAGATTCCCCAAAAACACGTTTAATCAAAATATCGAGTCCATCGATGTTTTTTTCATAAAAAGTAACTATGAAGTGTGCTGATTATAAAACTACATCATAAGAACACTTCAGGTGGTGCTTAAGAACACCTTTAATTAGGGCTAATTAGCGTTTTAATCAAACTTTTGAGCCCAAGAAAAATTCCATTGCCAAAGTATCAGCCCAGTCGTCAAAACACATTCGTAAGAACAGTTTGGTCGGTGCAAAAGGTGCTTAAGAACAGGTCAAAGTTCAAACAGGTGGATGAATGAACAGAAAATTACAATTGTCAAACTTGTCCACTTGGACTATAGATTCAGCAGTGGATTTACCCGGTGTCATAACTATACACTAATATACTTTAATGGATATATAAGATTATAGAGAGATTCTGTTGTAAAGTTATGACACAGGTAAGTCCACACTGATAATACTAATATACTCGTATTGACCAAGTTTAAGAATTTCAATTTCATGTTCACTCTAAGAGATAATAACTCTTTAACATTAAAATATGATCACATCATCGCTGTTTAATGGAGATAGTCCTCTACATTTTTTTTAGTTTCTCATCTGTTAAGAGCCAAATTTTGGCTTCCTATATCACTTTTGGATTTTGAATTTTGAATTTTCATTCTGAAAGTGATTTAGGAACCTTAAATATATGGTTCTATCAGTTAGTTACATGAAAGTTTCCAAAAGTAAAACTAACAATTATTATACAAAAACCATAGAGAAAATAAATATGAAGATCCATTCTTTGGATTGATAAAACAGTGCAAATGTTCATGTTTTTACTTCATTCACAACACCAGAGTTATTCATCGGCATTACTTTCATCACTAGATCCTGCTGCTAATATTAATTCATCATCTGATTCCACAGTTTCATCCATATCGTCTGGGATAAGTCTTTCGGGCATCTGACAACCATCAAACCAATTTATATGGTAATGACTGTCTTTTAGATACCAACCATCTGCTGCAGAAAGTTCACATGTAATAAAAGCAGTATCAGCCACATCCTAGTAACAAATCCTACACGCCTGATATGGGGTGACCACTCAAATTGGCATGGTGGAATGTCACTGGCATTTATTCCTTTGATTTTTGCAAATGGTTTATCCTCTCTTTTCGGAGAAAACCCCCTTTGAAGCATTTTATACCTGTAGCTGTTCAAAGATGTTTCAGATTTTTTTGCACCGTAAATCTTACTTAAGAACATTTCTAATTCTGAAATGACACTTTCAGAAATAGGACATTCTTTGGTTAAAAGAGAAAATGAGTGTTGAGCCTTTTTATCATTTTTCAAAAGAGTAAGTGGTCTGACTTTTCCTTTTCTGACAAAGGCTGAAGTGAAATCAGACCCAGTAAAGACATGAAAATCTGGTAAAGCCGCACACATAGAAGTACCTAGGGTAGTGGCGATTTGCGTTATATTTATATATCGACGACTATTTCTCGAGCAAGTTCCAACGTCCATCCAAACAGTGGCTGCAATTTTGTGGGAATGGTGAATCAAAATAACGGCTATGTCAGTGTCTGATGCACGTACCACAATGTGTCCTGGGTGTTCCGTTTCATCAATAACCTTGGCATGAAAACATATCATTGTATCTGCTTCCTCATGATTTGACTCCATTGTAGCAATGCACTCATGACGGACTTCGTGGTTTTCAACGAAAAAATGATGACATTGGTTAAGATGACCGACATATAGATGGCAATCTTTAATGATGGTACTATAGTGTAACTTCTTCCATTCCTCAATCAAAAAGCTTGGAAGATTCTTTTTAAATGATGTAGATTTAAGTGCATCACTCAAATTACGAGGACGAAGTTGATCTGGACCAGTAATTACAAATTCCTGTTCTTCAGCCCCTCTTCTTTGCCTCTCACAATCTTTTATTGATGGTTCTTTATAGGTGTCAAAGAGGAGATCAACTCTTTTTGAAGTGGTTGATGTAGCCATTATCAAGATGGTAGAGGCCAGACCTCCGTATGTAGGCGATATTTTATTGGGTAAAAGATGCAACAAGAAATTACCGTCAATCACATATGCGTCAAGAGAAGGAGTAGTTAGAGTTTCACCATTAACCATTTTCTCTAATTCTCTGAAGAGTGTAGATTTGTCGGTTTTTGCTAGTGTCCCATCATAGTTGCACATGGATAATGGTACTGGAGTCAGTGGATATGTCAATACGTATTCCAAATCTAATTTTCTATTGACAGCAATCAATAACAATTGCCCCATCAAATCCCGAGTGCATTTCAGACTAGCTACCTAGTTACTTGTGCTTTTGGTATTCCTGATGGAGCCATCACTGAAAGTAAGAAGTTTCTGTCTTTTAATAGGTTTCTCAAATCTGTTTGGATCAGCAATACAATCTTCGATGAATTGCTTATGCAATTCTGCTCCTCTCTCTGTTATTGTTAACAGGTTGTTTTTTTATTTCTAATTTCACACTTTTCAACCAGTACTAATGTTAATAAGAGAGTCATCTGTATCTTCTGGTAAGATAAAAGGATCACAAGAATTTTTTATTTGTTTAACAATTTTAGAATAATCCTCGTGATCACGCATTATTCGAGTAGGTTTTAGTTCATTTGAAGCATTCTCGGGATTAGACATTCCAGCCATCTGTAAAATAGAACTGACCATTAAAGCCCTTAAGGGCCTGGTTACCATCCATCTTTGTCGAGCTCCAAAGTTGTTTGTCATATGAGACAATCCAGTTTGACGTGAAGCGGCATTAGCATTGATTGACTGTTCCAAAGTTAGATCCACGGGAATTCTGCTGAAACTATGATCTGTTCTTCTTACTGTAAATAAGCCAGAGTTGAGTAAATCAGATAAGCCTGGATGAGTGTTGTCAATGTTCAATAAATCTAATTGAAATTTTGTTAACCATCTTGCGTAATTGACATGGTTTGTGGCAAAAAAGAGATCAATAATTGGAGTTAGAGCGAAAGAATAAAGTTCCACATCATTTGTTCGAATGGCTCTCTCCAACAAATGGAAATTTTGTATGAAAGTTACATACATTATCCAAAATTGAGAAGTAGCCACATGTTAGCCAGCCAAAGTATCTGTTTTGAACTGATTAAAGAATGCCATTGCCAAATTAAAAACACTAGAACATTCACATTTGGCCACAATATCTGATCCGGTCATTCCATCAATGCTTGCTTTAAAGTCTCGAAAATCCTCAGCCTGTGGGTATTGATCCAAACACTTTTGAAAAAACAAAGTTTCTAGGGATACTGCTAAAAGCGGATGAAGTCTTTTACATCTATTAAAATGTGTACCACATAAAAAGCCATTCAAAGAACCTGATGATAGTACTAAAGATTCTGTGAGCATAGCAGGACCTCCTGAGCCATCAATAACTTTGCCAATAGCCTTAAACATAGCCATTTAAATATGGAACAATCCGGGCATGATGAAAATATTGTCATATAGTGGCGTTTCTGTAGCCTGGATTTGCATGGCCGGTTTTGCAGCATTCAGGTCATAGCTTACTATGCCATAGCTCTGTCCAATCTCTTCTGCACATTGTTGAGTAATTTTTAGTGTATGTTGAATTACATCAAGCTGAGTTATTCTTCATGTACATTACCCTTTGTTTCTGCAACTCGTCTACGTAGAATTGAGAATTGAAACCAACCCACATAGGAATATTTGTTGTAATAAGACCATAGCAAACCATCCATGTGAAATCCAGATGTCCTTTACGCCTTTTGGTATCCATGGATTTCCATACATCTCTACATTGGTATTCAAAAATAGTCATTCTTGGTTTTTTCCTGTAAGGCTGCAGGTTAAATACAGTGACATCCAGTTTTCTTTTCCTACTGTTTGAGCCTTTCCCAATTGTTGATGCAGGTACATTCATGCACTCAGAAGAGATACTCTCAGCCTGATACATAATACCCATAGTATCATGCAATGTATTTGATCCTAATAGCGTCTCGCACAATTCATCAAAATTGTCAAAAGCAACACCGAAAGGTACATTTTTCTTGCAATCAGCAGGTAAACAAGTGTTCTGATTCTGGATTTTTTCACCAACCATAGTTTCCAATTCTTCTATGAAATTATAATTGGAGCAGTGTCCGAATCTGTTTAGTAGTGTAAGCAGCTTCTTACTCCCTGTCAGGGACTTGATAGCACCACCAAGACTTATATGTTTAGCTGGATTTATAGTTCCATTTGAAACAATGAACAAAGCGTCTTGGCTTGATGACCCTGCCCTTCTGATAGTTTTAGTGAATGGTTATCGTAGATAGGTCCTCCAAAAAGTGTACGGAAGAATTTATATTGACTAATTCTGGGGGGTTTGCCTCCCCTTTCTGCAATGTCTCTCTTGTCGAATCGTCCAGTAATTCTGATTTCTCTATACTTTTCAGGAGCTTTCGAAGAACCAATGCCGCTTTCACAATAATATTTTCAGACGTTGCACAAAAATCGTAAGCTTTCCTAACTGCTTCTGGTGATATATTTCGGCATTGTACAATATAGCCCCCTGTTTCTTGCCTGCATCAGAGTGTGATTTTAATTGTTTGTCAAATTTCTTTAAAAGAATTTTCATCAAATATTGAGCACTACTGACTGGTATTTCGCCACATTCCTCGCAAAATGTTAAGTATTGGGAATATACGGACGTTAGTAATTCAGATCTTTTCTTTTTTATAATGAAATCATTTACATATTTATATATAGCTATCAGTGATTCACTTTCACGCTTCTTTTCGTCAGTATTACTGTCTCTGTCTTCAATACGTCTTGCTGCTTTCACATAATTAGTTCGATATGAATGGTGGTAATGGACTTCTTTTGCAACAAAATCAATGGATGAAATTTTGGTAAGTAATTTATTGTCCTTCAGGATATTTGCTGACCTCTTTATTAGTATTTCAGCATCTCTGGTTTGACATGCTCCCACATACTCAAATTTATCACCTTTCTTCTTTCGTTTAGAATTACAAAAGATGCAGTTTTTTTCAAACACTCCTGTACTCCCACTTGATTCAGCTCTGTCTGTGGTTGAACGTAACAATGTTTGGGTGGATACACCTGAATCTACAGATTTGTCTGAAATTGCCGTGAAATTTTTATAACAGTTTTTGTGATATCCATTTTGAGAGTTATATTCCACTGGCAATGAGGCAATAACATCAAAATATTTAGATTGGTTGAAATTTGTTTTACTTGATCTTGATTTTGCGGATTGTTGAATGACTTCCCAATGGTATGATTGGAGTTTTACTAATTCCTCCAAATTGTCAGATTTTCCACTATCCAGGTGTAATATACAGTCTTTTAGTTTCACTGATGGTGTTTCCATGCTCTCCGAATTATTTCAAGAAAATAGTACATGCACAAATTTAAGAGTTACTAATTTCTAAAATTATTGATTAGATTAGTCTCTGGAGAAATGTCTAATTATGACGTCACTAGAGGGGTACTGCATATACATCAATATAGTAGCTTCCAATAGCTGTCCCCGATACACATAATTTTTTTTTAGAAAACCGCGTTACAGCCCCTTTAAAGATGTTTCTAAGTATAGGTAAATTAAACTACTGGGAAAAAAAAAAGAAACAGGTTTCAGGTTATAGAGAAGATTTTCTCAGTTTTATAAGGGTATTGAACAGTTTAATTTTCTATATTTACCTGATTATTGAATCACTCAAACAAAACTAACAGAATTCAACAAACTTGAGGATTTATCGTCTTGTTTAGTTGACACACAACTTGAGGTGTTATATTATCACGTAGAAGATTGGTTTAGCAAAAACTCTTAAAAGATTTTTGTCTGTGTTTAAATCAACTCAGATTAACAGGTAATCTGTATAAAGGTGGGCACAAATTTAGTATCTTTTTTTATTACTATTCATCCATTTTCCTAACTAATCTACACCCGAGACAGTATTCAAGGTCTATTTCTATATTATATTCTGAAATCTGTTTGAAAATAGTGTTTAGGGACTCAACAATTTTACATTTTTAACAGTGGAATCAAAAAAATTCCTTCCTTATATGAGCTTAAAGAATCACTTCAAATCATTTGAGCCAAGGAAGAACACACATCAATGGAATAAATGGATCTGACCAGATTTTATCTCATTGATTATATTTCCGAAAGTATATTGCTTTTAAGAATACCTTCTTTTCTTCTCTTAGTGAGTGAATTCGGGATCAGATTCCCTGTTAATTATAAGTGATTACTGGTCGGTTCAACGTTCAGGTAACAATGTTAGATGTTTGTTAACAATCCCAGATTACCTGCTATTTATAAAGTGGTCATTTCATTTACCTGTCGCTACCTGGTCAAATGGTTCTCATCTCATTGATGTTTTGTTCTAAATGAAGAATATGTTTCCTTTTCAAGCAATACAATGAATTAAATCAGCCTCTACATTAGCTTTTGATACAATTCGAAAAGGATATTTCGGATTATTATTCTTAGTCAGCAAGTGATTTTCAAAGGTGCCAGCTTTTGTGTCAATTCATTGGAAAATTATTATATAGCTTGATAATAATAATGTTTTACCTATTGCAAATATATAACAAACATTAATAGCGACACAGATGTTTTTTTTATATAGAATAACAATAACATTATGTTTAGAACGAGAAAATCAATTGTCTCCAGAAATTACTTTGTTATAAACTGAAATTTTGTGATTCAGCCTGTGTTGTAAAAGTGATGTGCACGTTTGCTGCAGATATTGGGATACATTTGTATCAAACTGATCTTGGTTGTAAGCCAAAACTGTGGATATAAAGTAAATCATTTTTTTCTTCAGATGACAAAGATTAGTCGATCGTCTTCCTATACAGATTTGTAAACCAAATCTAAAATGGGAGTAGGAAACAGCCGTAAAAACAATACAGGTAATTTTTTGTATCTTCTTGCTTTTTTTCATATAGGATCGTTTTTGTACGCCCACATCTCTCTATCTCCCCTGTCCGTCGGTCCGTCCGCCTGTCGGTCCGTCCGTCAACATTTGCTTATAAACGCTCTAAAAACTAGATTTTTTGATGGAATCAAATGAAATTCGGTATGTGTATACATATTCATAAAACGAAGATCAAGTTCGAATTTGAGCTATTTTCGACCGTTAGAAGCAGAGTTATTGCCTTTACCCCAAAATCTTGAATATGCTATTACTCTCTTAGTTTTCAACCGATTTTGATGAAACTTAAAATGGATGTTTTGTTTTTACCATCCCCATGCCTTGAAGGGCGTATATGACTGTGGTCCACTATCTTTTTAGTTCCGGATACTGTAACGCTATCATCGGCAAAAATACTTCGAAATGAAAATACACCTTTGTTTTAGCCAATGTTTGATAAATATAGATCTCAAATATCTAACGCAGTATAATGTATATACAGATCGAACTGCAATATTGAGGTTACTATATGTAGTATATAAAATTTGATGATATTTGTCTTGTATTTTTGGTTAATCTTTTCGATTACAACGAGTCTTATTTGAGTTGAGTTGATATCGAAGGTCAATCCGAATTCTATATATTCTATTACACGCAATTTGAAATTGCACAGGTTAGTAATATTCTTAAAAAATATTTGAAAATATGACTTGATAGCTAGGCCTTACCACTCGAAAAACAAAAACGTTTTTAAATTCACAAATTCAATCAATTACAAGCACTAAGATGTTAGCAATTATTTTCAACTATTGGATATTGGAGCAGCCAACACCACCCGACCCAACTCCCCCCCCCCTCCCTCAGAGGAAAAGGATAAATTAATGATTAAAAGTATTGAAATGTTTTATGTCCACTGAGTCCAGTGTAACATAAATAAAACAGGTGTATAGGTATGGTGGTATGTTTAACAGGAATTTAACTCTCACCTGTCCAATATCTCATCTAAATAAATTACATCTGAATTCTTCATCGACCATTTCCTTGTCAATTTACTTTCTTCTGAAATATTTCCAAAAGGAGATTAAAAGGATTTAGTGAGAAAATGTTTGGGAGGGAGGAGGGGGAGAAGATGCTAATTCAAATTAAAGAGAGAGCCAATATTCTTAAAAAAAATAGTATTCTCAAATGCTCGTTTGTTAGAACACAGAATGATGTACATCATTTTAAATGGTGTCCCTTTCAGATGAAAACAATTTTAAAAAAGTTAATTTTTTTTAACAAGTACGTTTATCTGAAAATTAGAGACGCATGGTACAGTCTCTTTACTTTAACCATACCTTCAGTAGAGAAAGTTGTAGAACAGTTTATATAACGGTTTAGAAATGTGTAAATATTGTCTGTGTGGTATATTGATTACAATAACAACTGTATTGGTAAACTAACCCACCACAACGAGTTTCATTAAATAAAAACAAACACATATTATGATGGTATAAATCTTCAGTATTCACATCTGTCCAGATTTTATTCTTTTATTCATAATCGGTATCATACCAAGCATTTTGGTCGGATTACACCATCAAATATTTAAACCTCAAACCAACTAAAGACGAAAACGCCAAAAGAGATTTGGCATTATTATACATCATACATTAATCTATATATCATAATACACACATGAATGATTTATTACGTAGCACTTTTATCTTTAGTTGTATTTTAATCAGATTGTTCCTGTGTAGCTCGTGAGTCTAAGCCCAATAAGTTTATTGAATTCCAAATCCATTTTGGTTAGGAACTCTGAAAGTTTCGCTATCACTTCGCATGACGTTTTTTTCGGATGTTCAACAAAACTAATTATTGGTTTGGTATATTTTCAGAGGTGCAGGACTTTACAAAAGGTATAACATTTATGTTACCGATTCATGAATGGGAATTATTAAATCTTGAGCAAAATTCTGCTTTATCCAAAGCTCATTCCGTGCAAGATGGTGATGATGATGAAGATGATTTATGAAGATGAAGATGTTATCGTAGCTGGTAGTATCATTGATAGTGATGGTGAATTCTTTGCACTCAGTGATTGTGGTGTACACAAAGTAGTGCGTCACTGTACACTTTCTGAAGACAATAATGTAGATAACATAAGATTTTGCGAACTAAAAGACACAGAGTATTGCGTGTGCGGTTGTTATGTGGAAACTGAAAATAACACAAGAGCAATCGATTGTGAGTCACCACAACGCTGTAGAAAGCGCGAAGAAGCTCTAGAAAATCAATTTCAACGTTGTCTTAAAAGAAGGGAAATCAGTATACGAGAATATTTGAATGACACCACACGACCTCCAACTGTCTCATGTGCTTATGAGACCGACGATGAGCTACTGAAATATTTTGAAATGAATCAAAACCCAGTACAGGTTATCAAAAATTGCAGCACAGATGAATTCAACCAATCGAAGCTTGATCCCAGAGCAAACACAGTGAACTCTCATTCAATGCAGGACGTAAAAAATGCGAACAAACCATCGAAAATAAGACAAACTATTACTGGAATTCGGCCATGTATTCTTAAAGATTATATTCATTGTGATGACGACTGCACTAAAAGCAAGAAGAACTCCACTGGAATTTTCAACACACCTTATAATTTAATTTGTGAAAGTCAACAAAGTTTTGATTCCGGTCTTGTATCAAGTCGTGAGAATATGGGGGAATGTATATGTAAATTTCATATTTCAAGGGGTAAAACTTTTGGTGGTGAAGACAATTTGAGTGAAAAGTGTGAGCTAGTTTTCGATAAGTCCAATATAATCAGATCATTTGTGAGTAACACAAGCATCGAGTCTGGTAAAGGGTCATCAAATTCTTGTAGCGGAAGTTTTGGAAGTGTAGGGAACATATCTTACAGTTCAGATGATGCCTCAAATCATGATAGTACAGAACATTATGACGTGTCTTCTTTAAAAACCAAAAGTCGTCGACTATCTTTAAGTTGCCCTGATTTTCAGATCAATCCTAGATTCTCACGTTTGATATCTAATAGTACAAGTTTTCTGGAAAAGTATGAGTTAGATAAAGCGCACCAAAGCTTTGGAAGTGACTACAATATTGATGAAAACAATCTGACTCAAAGTTGGTATAACTTGGATTGCTTTGGAAGTGACGCATCCAATAGTTTTTCCACAATTGAACAATTAGAACGCCTTAATGCTAGAAATAATCTTTGTGATAGTGCAGATAACTTTGCTCCCTGTTCATATGCTGATTTCACTGAACTAATCCAATCTGATTGTCCCTTTGATGAATTTACCAATGGTAGAATGCCAGGAAGCAATGTTCGAGAAGCTGAATGCGATACTTCCTTGGGACAAGGTAACACATGTTCTTCTTTCCAGAAAGATAGTATTCCTGCTAATAGGAAACTGAATATTGTGCCACGGTTGTATAATTCTATTTATAATCAGCAAAATGAAGGCAAATCGCCTGTCTTTATGAAAATTTCACAAGACAAGAAATCGGAATTTGTGTCCACCACCAGTTTCCACAGTGCCGAGAAATCACATGTTTCAACAACATTTGAAAGGAAAGGCTTTACCAAAATTTCTTTTCGAGACAGTTTCCTGTTTAATCTAGAAAGAATAAATTGTGGTAAACTGGGTCGTAGATGTCGCCGTAGGCCTCTTGTAGGTCTGGAACCTAATTACAATTCAGAAAACCAAAGAAACCTGTGCTGTCCTTCTGGATTTCATCTGCAATCCAATATTTACACAGACAAGAACACAGGTTAGTGCAGCATGTTTTGTTTTGTGACACATATCACATTTCTTTATATTCTGATGCAACATTATTTCACATCTTACCATGATATATTATCATACCACCAAATATTTGAAATCATACCACGAACCATGTTTATTTTGACTCCAATAATTACATCATATCATAATATTACATATCACTATATATTTTATATCATACATCAATATAATTTACCTCAATATATTGTACATTATACCTCAATATATTGTACATTATACCTCAATATATTGTCCATTATACCTCAATATATTGTACATTATACCTCAATATATTTTACATCATAGCTCAATATATCTACCTCAATATATTCTACATTACACATCAATATATTTTACATGATCCCTCAATATATCTACTTCAATATATTCTACAATATACTTGGATATATTGTACATTATACCTCAATGTATTGTACATCATACCTCAATATATCTACCTCAATATATTGTACATTATACCTCAATATATTCTACATTACACATCAATATATTTTACATCATCCCTCAATATATCTACTTCAATATATTCTACAATATACTTAGATATATTGTACATTATACCTCAATGTATTGTACATCATACCTCAATATATCTACCTCAATATTTGTATATTAAACCTCAATATATTCTACATTACACCTCAATATATTTTACATCATACCTCAATATATCTACCTCAATATATTGTACATTATACCTCAATATATTCTACATTACACCTCAATATATTTTACATCATACCTCAATATATCTACTTCAATATATTCTACAATATATTTAAATATATTCTACATTATACCTCAATATATTCTACATTATACCTCAATATATTGTACAATATACTTAAATATATTGTACATTATACCTCAATATATTCTACATTATACCTCAATATATCTACTTTAATATATTTTACATCATACCTCAATATATTTTACATCATACCTCAATATATCTACCTCAATATATTGTACATTATACCTCAATATATTCTACATTATACCTCAATATATTTTACATCATACCTCAATATATCTACTTCAATATATTCTACAATATATTTAAATATATTCTACATTATACCTCAATATATTCTACATTATACCTCAATATATTGTACAATATACTTCAATATATTCTACATTATACCTCAATATATTCTACATTATACCTCAATATATGTACTTTAATATATTCTACATTATACCTCAATATATGTACTTTAATATATTCTACATTATACCTCAATGTATTTTGTTAGACACCAAGATATAGGACAAAGAGACATATATAATTCACACTTGACAACAAAATATACTTTATTCAACAAAATTGAGTACCCGCCGAGCGGAAACGGGTATCGGTACAGTAGATAAGGATACTAACACCTAGTATCTTTCATTCAAAATCTCCCTAATCTCCTCTTACTATGTAAGCCTCTCTACTTACATAGGGAACCTGTTCCTTCAGACTTCTGTGTTCTGGAGTCTTAGTGTTTCTGTGAATACATTTTGAGTGCCCCATATACCGACTTGCCTGGTACTCTTATGAGTTAAAATAATATATTAAAAATACGAACCCAAGCCCTACCCTATTAAAATGCATATCACATGAAAGCTAATGACTTGTAGCATATTGTGAACATATAATAAAATGGAAATGAATACGACCCATGCTTGGCCCACTTATCTAAAGGTGAATTTCAACATGATTATCTCCCTTTAGTGAAAAATACAGTAAAACTGAGTATAAGGGAACCTAGCTGAATTAAACATTAAAATATAACAAAATAAGATAAAAATGAAATAAAAGGACAAATTGACCAAGACCAACCAATCCTGGAAATCGGAGTAGGTAATTAACAAATGAAAAATGGTCACAATTTTACATCATACCTCAATATATCTACCTCAATATATCTACTTCAATATATTCTACAATATACTTAAATATTATATCTCAATATATTTTACATCATACCTCAATATATCTACTTTCATATATTTTACATTATACACGTATCTCAATAAATTTTACATCATATCACAAAATATTCTACATTATATCTCAATGTATTCTACATTATATATCAATATATTCTACATCATACCTCAATATATTCTACAGTGTATCTCAATATGTTATTTCACATTATACTTCAAAATATTATGCATTACATCCTTTGTATATATATCTCAATAGTATATAGCTCAAAATATTTTGCATCATATCTTGATGTATGACAGGTTATTTTAACTTTCAATTATCTGTAGCTTGTAGAATGCCCATTTTGAAAAGTTATCTCCCTTCAATGGTATCGCAACTGATTAAGTACCTTATTACTTTTTCAATTTAAAAATTGTCACAAACTGTACACATTACCCTTGATCTTCATGAAAATCGATAGGAGATTAAAGTAGATTAAATATTATTTATATATAACACAAGGCTGTATCTTGTACGCCGAATTACAAGTTTCAAAACTGACCTGCTTATCTTCCATTTCGTTTAAAATGTTTAAGAAAATGATTGACAACTAAGGGGGTAAGGATAATTTAATATCAAATTCAAATTCGAACTCTATCTTTTATCAACATTTTTTGAAGACCCTAGAGCGTTTACCAATACGCAGATAGATGCATAAACTCCAATCCGTCGAATAAGGTGCTTATTTTGAGGTGATAAATCTGTACCTATTTACTCTGCCTAGCACGATGCAGTTTTTATTCGTATTCAAAGTGGCTACCAATCCAAACTGCCTTCATTGAATCAATGTGAATGTTGAATGTTAATGTGACAAGCAGTTTCAAGTACAGGTTAACCTAGTAAGACATGGTATACAGAGTGAAAGTAAAGAAAGATGTATTTACTCGTGAGTAATTCTGAACAATAATTCAATGACTTAATAACAGACTTTATGGTGTCTCAATAGAATTTGTAATTTTCAAGTTTACTTTAGTTAAAAACACCCCCATCAGGTCTAATTGGTATATTATGTAGTAAATAAAAGTATTCTTTTCTATACTGATCCGTGGGAAATATATTTTCAAGTGGATAATTATTACAAGTGTATGAAGTTAAATCTTCTGCTTTATAAGTAGAAGTGAAATCGAGTTTTGTGACTTGCTACTCTACGCTTGATGCACCCGTCTCTTGAAACTATTAACGCCAAACAGTGTACAATTGTGAAAACTTTCTCAGGACATTTATTATGATGTCTCAATTCTATCTTCCATCGAACATGTCACATTTTCCACTTCAGCGTATTTGACTTGTTAAAGTAATTGGTTGAAAATGGCTTTTGGTCAAACTTTTCCATTGTACACTGAGTCTCGACGGATCGTAGCTTTAAACATTTGTTACAAGGTGTCTAACTCCGAACTCAGTCTTTAAACACCTTATATTCAATTTATATTTTGTGTTTTTTGGTGAAAAATATCTTTGTATTTGAACATCTGTTCACCTCTATTAATCATTCTGACTACATAATTTACCTTTCCTGGTGTAATTTTATATTAAATGTGCCATCTTAAACTATTATTTGGATATCAAATCCTAGCTGTACTAGTGTTAGAGAGTGACAAATACAATCATTTGTACAAAACGGATCTTGTTACACTAAAAGTTACAAATGGGGTTCATGGACTTCTTCATCATGAAACTCGAATCTTTGAAAATAAATTATCAAAGAACGGTTTTGATATAAATCGTTTTGAAGCAGTATGGGTATTTTTAAAAACACTTAAGGAGAGAAAATTAACTAGAGCAAGATAAATAATGAAAAATATCAGCACAGTTGCCTTCAATACTAATCATAAATCTACCTCCCTTTTGTCACAATAATAAATTTCACGCTCACATCGCTACCTTTAATGATTATTTAGGTGATCTATTCACTGTAGCCCCAAGGCATCACTGACCCTTATTCAGACTAAAGGGGTTGATGAAGTGTTTTTGTGTGGTTTCTATAAACATTAACTCGCTAGGAGTTACGTTTATAATAATTTGGGGTTTCTTTGATGTAATTTCTATACCACTATAACATTAAACACCTAAAGTTAATTTGAGACTTAATCGTGTTTTTCTTCGGTGGTTTCCTTCCTAAAAGAATTTAGACCAGTATCCACGGCTGTTGAATCATAAGATCGTGTTTATCATATGGTCTTATGTAGGTATATAGATCCTTTCAGTAATATACTATATAGGTATTCGGGTATAGTCAGACAAAAAGAATGCTTAAGATTTTAATTGTCTTTTTTTGTATCCCTGTTGAAGTAATACCGTACTTCTGATTCCAGTCCTCAAGACTATGGTCAACCTGTAGAATCACCAGAATGTGTAGCCTAATAATATTTTACTTGCTCTAGAAATATTTACTGCACCTAGGTTTTTTCAGACAGAACACTATCATATAATCCTAGTTTAATAATATCACTGATAAATTCAAGGGGCTTACAGTACAATATGGTAAAGATTAAGTTAAAGTAACCAGTGATACTCAAGTGATTTTTCATGTCTATGTATAATATTAGAGATTTTGTTCAATAATGGTATACAGTTACTATAGATGTCAAGAGATTTGGATACTATACATATCGTGTTAGTATGAAAAGAAATTGAAGATTAAAATCAAAGATTATTTACTCTGGATGTATAAAAAAAAAGTTCAAGAGACACAAATATATCTCGTTTATATCCTGCTTAAATTGAACCTCTTTCTTTGTATCCATCATTTAATAAATCCCTTTTCAAGCAATTTTGAACTCCAAGGTGAACGCCTCCATGTGGTCTTCGGTCTACTTCCTACAATAGAGACAATTTTGGTTTGTGTTAAATAACCCCTTAAATTAATGTCATCTGAGACTTATTTAATATATTTGCCGTGAAGGTCTACCGAGAAGACACTAAAATAAAACAAAATACAATACATCTTTTTGGTCTATGATTACACAGAAACTTGTTTTGAATGAATTTTAAAATTCATTATTCAAATTTAATTTCGTATTTTGATATTACAAAGAATACTTTTAACGACAAATCTTTGATGTTGCTATTGGCTATATATTTTAATTTCGCGCTATGGTTATTTAAAATTTCATGGATAAAATGTATGTTACTTGGTAATTTTATTTACGCAAATAATTTTCCAAATTAAAATTTAAAAGATCTCCATCTGATTGGTGCTATTTTTTGTTTTGTTTTTTAAATCCTTCGGTGTCAGCCAAAGTTGCCATCTGTGGCCTTGTCAATTTGTTATTTGTTGTAAAATGACGAATAATATGTGTCTATAATAAAGTTTGGCACTTTTCATATCTGCCAAATTTATTGATTGTGATGAACCATATGAAATGAGAAGAAAAGTTTAGAAGGTTAATATTCAGATAAATACCATTGTCCACATTCAGATGCTCCCAGAATGAGTCATTCGACCGATAACTCATTACCATTCACATTGTAATAGCCAGTCAATATGCTAGTGAAAGAAAATGGTAATCATAATGAATAGGCATATGTTTTCTATATACTTTATGAATAACCTGTCAACTTTTCTTGTAGAAAGCACATACGACCACAGACGAGAATTGACTGAATACTTTTCAGAATCACATGTACATGTACATGTACATATACTTCTATTGGTAATATATCTAGAGAATTGACGTTGTTGGTATTCTGTTATATTTATTAATATCTCTAGTAAGTTTGACGTTGCCGGTATTCTAGAATCTTTTGTAATAACTCTAGATATATGACGTTGATGATATTCTGGAATTCCAGAATCTTTGGTAATTCTAGAGTCTTTGGTAATATCTCTAGAGATTTGGCGTTGATGGTATTCTAGAACCTTTGGTAATATCTCAGGAAGATTGGATGTTGATGGTATTCTAGAATCTTTGGTAATATCTCTAATGAATTGACGTTGATGGTATTCTGGAGTCTTTGGTAATATCTCAGGAAGATTGGATGTTGATGGTATTCTAGAATCTTTGGTAATATCTCTAATGAATTGACGTTGATGGTATTCTGGAGTTTTTGGTAATATCTCTAGAGATTGGATGTTGATGGTATTCTAGAATCTTTGGTAATATCTCAAGAGAGTTTGGCGATGATAGTATTCTAGAACCTTTGGAAATACTTCTAAAGAATTGACGTTGGTGGTATTCCAGATTCTTTGGTAATATTTCTAGATAATTGATGTTGATGGTTTTCTGGAGTCTTTGGTACTGACTTTTGTAAATTTCTAGAGAAATATCACACTCA